ACATTTGCTATGTCTGATGGACTTTTAATTTATTTATTTAAATTTTTATTTATTTATTTGTGTGTGTGTGTGTGTCCAGCTCAGCCCACCAGGGGGCGGGGCTGGCTGGCATGTGGTGCTGGGGAATTGAACTGTGGTCCCTGTGCTTTGCTAAGCTTGCTGTAAGTAGGTGCTTTAGACCACTGAGCCATCTCACCAGCCCCCAATGGACTTTTTTTGAAGATTTTTTTTTTTTTAAGCTTGATATAATCTCATCTAAAATACTTCCACCATGTAGCCCTTTTTAAAATAGTATGTGTTTACGGAAAATAGCTCAGTGGCCTAAGCACCTGCCTAGCAAGCGCAAGGACCCAGAGTCAATCCCTGGCACCGCATGCCATGCCAGGCCCGCCCCCGGGCATGAAACCAGGTGTGGTGGTGCACCCCTGTAATTCTACCTCTGGGGAAGCTGAGACAGAAGGATCACTATAAGTCTGAGCTGTACAGTGAGACCCTGTATCAAATAACTTAATACATAATTTAAAAATTATATAATATGTAATTATCTAATGTACCAACCGGTAGCAATGCTGCCTTGGAATCTACTTCATGAGCATCTTCTACAGATGGTCTTCTACTGCTGCTTTCGGCTGAAAGCATAAACATACAAACTTTAAAAAGTTTTGTTAACACTGACTAACCAAATACAGTGCTTCCAGGCACAGAACACAAGAATTACACAAGCCTAATTACTCAAGTAAGCCATTTACTTAGTTATTATGAAAAGGCATCAGGAAACACAAGAGTATAAAGTGAGTCTTTCTGCCCCTCTCGTACCAAATCACCCTGCCTGGGGCAGTCAAGGTAATCGACTTCTTCTGTATTCTCCAGGGACATTTTTTGGAGTGCCATACCACTCCTCTCCCTTTTTACAGTATTTTCAGGTTTTGCTGTTGTTGGGCTTCAGTTTTTTTCCCTAAAGATATAGTTAGGCCCAGGTTAGTCCTGAACTCCCAAGCAACTGTGACAGTTCCCAGCTTTGTTGTTTTTAAACTTTAGAGGAGGATTTTCCACAGAAGAGTTCCCTATTATTTTCTGATGTGCCTTCATTTTCATATTGTAGACATACAGTAACGTATTTAAACAAACTCTTAGCTCCAATGGTGAGCCGCACTCTCCCACTGAAGCTGCTATCTTTGTTGCTGTGCCTTGTCTATCCTAAATGAACAACCGCTCAATTCAGAAGGCCCATCCACCCATGCTGACGAGAAAGGGCAAAGGCACGTGCAGGTTCTGGGAACAGCCAACAGGAAAAGAAAGCTCAGTCCTTGCTTTGTTTAGAAGGTTAAACGAGTGTGATCTAAAATTGAAATAAGAGTAATTTTTCCCTCATAATCCTTTTATCATTGCTTTTAGTTGCCTTACTGTTCCATATAGTCTACTAGTTTTCCAAAATTCCTTGTTTCTATTAATAACTTTATTCTCCCAAAATATACATTTGTTTTGAGTCTGAACTATAAAGTGGAAAAAAAGTAAAATTTTAATTTACTTTTTACGCTTACATTACGTAACGTTTTAAGTTCATATACATGTATGAACTGCTATAACTATGTAAAGTATCATTTTAATTAAAAAAGTTATTTATTTATTTGGTACAGGGCCTTGCTATGCAGCTCAGACTCATAGTGATCCTCCTGTCTCAGCCTCCCCTGCATTGGGATTCCAGGCGTGTGCCACCATGTCCAGTTTTGGTGGTCAGCATAGCAGTACTGGGGATTGAATCCAGGTCCCTGAGCTTGCCAGACAGGCTTAAAGTGTCCCCACCCACCCACCCACCCACCCATTTTCTTTTCTTTGTCCTTTTGAGACAGGATCTTGCTATGGAGTTCAGGCTGGCCTTGAGCTCACTTTGTAGCCCATGCTGGTCTGGAACTCCCAACAATCCTCCTGCCTCAGCCTCCTGAGTGCTAGGATTATAGGTGTGCCCTATCATGCATGACTATGTAATGTGCCTTGACTGTTTTCCTTCTCCTTACTCCTCATTGTTTCCTCTTCCTTCTGATCCATCCTTTCCCCACCTCGTTTTGGTCAGAATCTGCCTTGTATTTGATCACTGAAATACAGTGTTTGTGATAACTTCTTGTAGATGCACTTTACTGACATCAAGGATTTCATTATTCTTACAGAACTGAGGGTTTTAGTCACATGAGATGCAGAATTTTTAACAAATGCATTTTTCTATAGCTATCAAAATGATCTTAGAATTTTTCTCTTAATCTGTCACCATCATGCATCCAAGTAATTGACTCTTCGATGCCACTTCAACTTTCATTCTTTTTTTTGCGGAGCCGGGGATTGAACTCAGGCCCTTGCGCTTGCCAGGGAAGCGCTTATTCCACTGAGCCATCTCCCCAGCCCCTCAACTTTCATTCTTGTAATGACCCCAACTTGCTCATGCTATATTCTGCTGAATTAAGGATATCAAAACAGCACGAAGGGGCAGCCAAAGAGCTCAGCAGATATAAGCACCTGCTTAGGCAGAGTGCAGCAGCTGGGGTTCAATCTGCAGCGTGCCTTGCCAGCGCCGCCCCCGGGGTACGCTGAGACAGTGAATGAGACTGGCTGTGATGGCAAGCACCTGTAATCCCAGCACTTTGGAGGCTGAAAACAGGAGAATCACTATGAGTTCGTTCTGTGTAGTGAGACCCTGTACTAAATGCATAAAATAAAACAAAATAGCATGAAAGTTATGGCAAGAAGGATGAGTATGGGGCAGGACTTTTTCTTATTTTCTTACAGCTCTGCTTTTCTTTTTCTTTTTAAACTCTGCCTTTCAATCATGGGTATAATTTGATTCAAAGAAATTATGTGGAAATGGCAAGATACAATAACTGAAACCTTAAGTGATACAAGTAACAAGTATGAGATACCAACTTCTGCCTAAGAAGAGATTGGTAAGACATGCATAGCACACCTAACTACATAGCACAAAAATCTAGAAGTGGAAAAAATATAGGCTTTTTTTGTGAGGTTGGGGAAGGAGACTTTTCAAAGTATGCCTATGTTCATTTCAGACCATTAAACATAGCTGTTCCTTAAAAGCTGAACTAGAGGACTGGAAATAAAAGCTCAGTGGCACAATGCATGCCTGCCAAGTACGAGGTCCTGAGTTAGATCCCTGCTACCCCTACCCCCCAAAAAAGTTAAAAATCAGCAGATTTAAAAAAAAAAAAAGGAAGTCCTGCTTTAAGGTTGTATATGGTAAGATTTTTGGACTTATGTGCAAACATGAGAAGCATAGAATTCTTTATCCTATTTTTAAAATATAATCTAATTTTTAAATGTTTTTGCATCATATTATGTAGGGACTTAAAGTTCAACATATCAATACTTGATGAAAAATACTTGTTCCTTATTATGCCTAAGATGTTTGAAATGCAGTGAGATAGTGAGGTTAAGCTTGATAGCCTAAATCGTTTGATAATAACAATAAGCTTGTCTTCTGGATGGTTAACAACCTAAGTCTGCAGACCAAAATTAGAGAAAAAGGAGGGCTACAAGGAAAGCCAACATTTTGGCCCTAGCCTTCTAAGGTCAATTAAGACTCAGGACCTATGAGAACTTGTACTGTAATGTCATGTACCTCGGTAGTATCCCAAATTTTCTGATCAAGAAGATTATGGGGCCAAAGAGGAAAGTGATCGATGACATAGAGTGTGCCTAAGGAGAGTCACATGGGGAGAAGACACTCTCTCAGGCTTTCACAGAGAGCACATTGGCCAAGCATTGGCCGTGACTCATCCACACGGCTGCACTGGCAAAGGTTCTACAATCTGAGGTACAGGATCTCAGAATAAATCCTGAGGGCATTTCACTGACCTTCTCAGACCAAAAAGCTACAACTCTTGTTGCACAGGTCCTGCTTTACCTTGGTCTTAACCATCCAGTAGAAAAGTATGAAGACGAAATATAGGAAGTAAAGCCATGTTGTTAGGTTGAGCTGTGGGGGACTCAGGTCAATAATTTCTGACATTGCCAGTTAAACAGAAGACCCAATACTATTATGGGCTACTGGACTCTTTTAGAATATTTTGCTGAGTTTACACACCTATAATATTCAACAAAGGAACTTAAAAAAATTGGGATATAGCGATGAATGTCCATTTTGTATCTGTGTATTCAAAGTGGTTGGGATAGATATATAGTTGCATTCTCTTAATGAATAGAATGATTTGTTCTAATGGTGTTTGTAAGTAGGATCACAAGTCTGCATCTTGTACAGCAATTAACCACTAAGAAGAATATATGCAGTGTATTATTTGTTGAAACTGTACTTGCGATTTGATTTGAAACTGTCTCATTGCTATATGTTTATCAATAAAACTTTGAAAAGAAAAAAAAAAAGGAAGTATTTTTATTTCATCTTTTTGTGGAGAGGGTCTTTTTGAGGCTGAGTCTCACTATGCAGTTCAGGTTGGCATTGAACTCACTTTGTAGCCCAGCCTGGCCTCAAACTTAAGTGATTCTCCTGCCTCAGCCTCCCTAGTGCTGATTACAGGTGCACACCACCACACCTGGCTTATATTTCATCTTTATGGACTAAGCAATTTGTAAAGAATACTACAATGTTAGGGTTATGTGACATTCCCAAAGTTACAGTAACAATTATGGACTAGGATCCTGGTCATCTGATCCCCATGCCATCCACAATTAGATGTTTGATCTACATTTAAAGTTTAAGCAAGTAGTATTCGTTAAGAGAATGGATAAAGTCAAAATACTCACCTTGTTCTGAATGATGAGAAAGGGGAGTCTTGTGAAACTTGGCAAACCCAGCATAAGAGCTCAAGTGGTTCAAAGGGTCTTCAGAAGGGTCATTCTAGGTATATTACACACAAACGTAACTTCAAAACTACTGAATTCCAAGCTGTTGTTCTAAATATAATAATCCTTTGGTCTCTTTAGCACACTGTATTTCTCCTGGACACCAAAGGAATATTGCGAGCTGAGGATTTAGCTAAGTGGCGCAGCGCTAGCCTAGCAAGCGTGAAGCCCAGGGTTCAATTCTCAGTACCAAAAAAGAAAATAGTAAAAATAAGACCGAAAAAAGTCCCTTTGGAGAAAAAAAAACTTTGGAGGCCTGCCCATTAGCTCAGTTAAATGACTGCTTAAACAAAGCAATCAGGATGCTGTGGTTCCAGTCCCCACTCCTGCCCTGAAGGCATTCCTGAGCCAGCCAAAAACAACAACAAAAAAACACTTCAAGGGAATATTGCTTTGCAGTGGGATTTTTGGGGTTGAGGTCTTGACAGCTTTCTTCCTAATCTGAATAAGCTATTTTAATAAAATTTGTGATCATTATTTGTCAAACTTACATTTTGCTTTCATTTTGACTTAGCTAAAGCACTTTTTTAAAAAAAATCTCTTTACAACTTCCCTTATTTTCTATGATTTATATATTTAGAAAGCTCTACTGGCTTACTAATGTTTCTATCTTCTATTATTTTAATATTTACATTTAGCTCTAGAATGCATCCAAACCCATAAAGTAATATGAAAATAAAAGCATATCTTTCCAAATCTCTACACAATCGCCCAATCTGTATTTATCAGAAGGCATCCCTCTTTCCTCCTTGTTAAATTCTTCTAGGTCAGCTAAAATGTTTTGCTAAATATTCATGTTTTTTCTATTCTAGTTGCAAACTATTTCACTATCTAATTCTCTTGTCTTTTCACCTATTTATTTTTCCACATGAAGTAACATAGTGACAAATCACACTGTATTTTCCTGTCTGATTTTAGTTGTTTTTCCTGAAGCCAGCTGTAGTTAGTTCTTATTCACCTTAGCTGCAATAACCTATGTATCGGGGGCCTGGCCCTAGCTCAGTCCTTTAAGTGGCTGCTTCCACAAAGCTGTCAGCCTCAGGTTCCTGGAGTTCGAACCTCACAACTCTCCCGCTGGCCAAAAGTGCCCTGAAGGCATTCGAGGAAGAAAAAACAAAAAAAAAAAAAAAAAAAACCCTTATTCCAATAACCTATGTATCAGTTTCACAGAGCCACCTATGACCAGACATTTTTAACTGGAACTAACAGATGGACTGCCAGATACTTGCAAGTTATCTAATAGAGCCTTCAAAGAAAAATCTTGTATATGTGCATTTTTCTAGACAGGTGGTCTATAGTAATCAGATTTTCAAGAGTGTAATACCCACAAATAATCAAGAATTATTAGAACTCTGACCATTCTACAGCTCATTATCCTGTTGTAGTTTGAATTATTTTACCAGAAGTAAATCCCCCCAAAACCATTCATTCAGAACACAGCCACCAGGCTGGGGCTGGAGCTCAGCAGCAGGGCTCTTGCCTAGCAGGTGCGTGGCCCTAGTTTCATCCCTAGCACCACACCAAAAAACTGCAGTCACATTTCTGCTACCTCACAGAAACCAGAGCTTTCTTGTTGCTTTCATCAAGAAGTTATCTGTTACTTAAAAATTTTTAGCAGTCCTCTTTTATCATTAAAAGGTGAACTCTGTTGAAATCTACTTTACTCTTTCTTATTAAGTGTTTTTGCATGTTAAACTATATTCTTTGCATATCAGATGTTTGACAAAATCAAAATGACACCACCACAGTGTGGTAATATATTACGCAGCTATAAGAAAAATGGATGTATCATGTTTAAATCATTCCAGATTGTACAAAGTTTTACTAGGATTTAATGAAGATCCACAAAACATATCATTTGCCTGCAATACCCACTTCCATTGAGATCTGGTCAAGAAAATCCCTGAGTAGAATATAAACATGCTACATCTCACATCATAACAGTTATGAAACCAACATCGACAGAGTTGTTTATGCTCCTTTTTCTTATTCCTATAGTTTTTCATGATACTGTCATGAAACATATGCACTCAACTCATTTATCTAGCTCTCTCCTTCTGAGTCATAATACAAATTCTGATCTTCACAAGTATGCCACAGCTTTATGACAGCGCCACTGAACTGAAGACTCTCCCCCACGTGTGTATGTCTATGTCAAGCTGAGTCTGACTGCTATGTACATTAATAAGACATACCTGATATTTAGGCATCTCTGAATATTCCATAATCATGTTTCTCACATCATTCTGCAGATCCTATTAGAAGAAAATCATGTAAATATTTTCAAATAGAGGCAATAAAAAACCCTACATATAATCATTAATCTCAGTTTGCATATAATCACCAAAAGAGTTCTAAAACAATGTCTAGTTAGTAGACATAAGGTAATCAATTTAGCTTAATACTTTAATCATCAGAATATATGTTATGGGCAGGGAGACAGACAGCTCAGTAAGTAGCCTAAGTGCCTGCCTGGCAAGTTCAAGGTTCCGAGTTCCATTCCAGTACCAAACACACACAAAAGGATAATCTTTGCAGATTTTATGTCACTAAAACACAAATGTCAGTGTAAATATCAAAGTATATTAGTATCTACTTTTATATGTAGGGTAGTAACATGTCATGATGCCAACTACACAATTAACTTTGGATACAGAAAACATAGAAACTGTCAGTCTTGGCTTTAGTATTAGATGAGAAGTTTACTGGGTGAAAAAGATTTGGGGAAAAATCTTATTTTCATCATATTAATTAACCATTTCTACAATGTAAGTTCCTTTTTTTTTTTTAACAATGTAAGTTCTTTAAGGACTAGGTAACACTTATCTCTTACTTATGGTGTAGTTACATTATTTCCCGTGAGCTGTTAAGTAGCTACAAGTAATTTATGACAGCAACAACTGAGGGATAAAAAACAATTTTTAGGCTGGAAACTTGGAAACTTTTTCTTTTTTGGTCCTGGGAATCAAAGGCAGGACCTTGCACTTGTCAGGCAAGTACTGTGCCACTGAGGTGTATCCCTGATCCTGGAAACACTTTTGGAAGTTATGCTACACATTTTAAACATGCCAACATTGAAAATCTTGTACTTGCACCTGTATACAGGATTTTGTTTCTAGACCACAGGTTACATGAGAGCCAGGACCATGCTCTAATAAACTCTGAGGCGTGGAAAAAGAGCTGAGCTTACTACTTAGTCAACAGAAAATGAATAGAGAAAAGCAAGTCTAAAAAAATGTTGAAAAAGTTTTAATTTTGAAAGTGAAAGCTATATATACAATTATTCGTTTTTGTACTTTTTCTGAAGTTATGTACAGCTACAAATATTTGGTACATCATGTGGATGATGGGTCTATTAAAACTATAAATTTAGGGCTGGCCAAATAGCTCAGCGGAATAAAGCGCCTGTAAGCAGGTACAGGGGCCTGTAGGGCCGGCCCTGCCCCCGGGGCGCAATGAGACAGCAACTGAGACTGGACGTGGTGGTGCGCACCTGTAATCCCAGCTCTTGGGAGGCTGTAAGCAGGCAGATCACTACTAGTCGGATCTAGTAGTGAGACCCTCAACACCCTGTAGACCCTTCCCTAAAATAAAAAAGTCAATATAAAACTATAATTTTATTGAAAAAATGCTTAATTCTGTTTTCCTTCCAACAAAAGAGTCTTGACTTTACTGCTGGGAGCCTGGGCAGGAGCAGGGCCCGCAGGGCCTCTGCAGGACTCCATTACTGAGCAGGAAGCCCAGGTCCCAGTCCATCTATAAGCACATCAGCAGCTGCCTATGTTCTTCAGTCCATCCTGTGGGCTACAGGGGGCTCACAGAGAAAACAGCTTTTCCTGTTTTATTCAGGGTTTCCAGCAGGGTGTCCATACTGTGTCCAAACCTTCTTGCCAGGCAGATCAGTGTTAAACTCAACTTCTCCCAGATTGTTGAGGACATGAGAGACCAACTCTGCACATGTCCACAATGTAGTCGCAGCAGTGGCCATGCCTCTATTTTGTTTTTCTTACTACTTATTTTTATTTATTTGTAACAGGGTCTCACTATGTAGTTCAGACTCATAGTGATCCTCCTCCCCAGCCACGTAGTACCGGGGATTGTACTCGGGTCACTGCATTTGCCAGGCAGGCACTTAGACCACTAAGCTATCTCCAGAGCCCCTCTATTTTGAACTAGAAAAATACATGAAATAAATTGAGGGGCCATGGAGATAGCTCAGTGGTCTAAGTGCCTGCCTGGCAAGCACAAAGACCAGGTTTGATCCCTGGCACTGCATGCTGTGCGAGCTGCATAATGAGACACCATACCAAATGCATAAATTTAAATAAAATTAAAATTCAAAAAAAAATTGAATCATGCTATTAAAGTAAGGATTTACTTACAGGTAACAGCTCTCTTATTTTATTTGATGTTTCTTTAAGCCTTTGCAAATCCATGCTATCCCTGTGCCCTTTAACAGGAAAAAAAAATATTCCAATAAGAAAAATTTGTTTTTCCTTATCAAAATAACTACCAGTATAAAATCAACATTTAAAAAACTCGATGGCTTTTCTATACACCAATAATATGCGCTAGGTGAAAAAGAAAGAAAACAGTGTCATTGAAAATAAGCTTTGGGGCCGGGAAGATGGCTCAGTGGAATAAGCACTTCCCTAGCAAGTGCAAGGGTCTGAGTTCAATCCCCGGTTCCAAGAAAAAAAAAAAAAAAAAAAGCAGCTTTAAAAAAACATGTAGGAATCAATCTAAGTAAGCAGGCTGAACATCTGCACAATGAAAGTTATAGAATGCTGAAACTGAAGGCACTAAAAGGTGGAAAGCTGTCCCACATTCATGGACCTGTAGAATTAGTATTGCTAAAATGTATCTACCAATTCAGGGTAACCCCTATCAGAATTACAATGACATCCTTCACACAACTAGGAAAAACAATCGCAGAATTCACATGGAAACACAAAAGACCAAGAACACCAAAGCGATCCTGAGCAAAATGTGCAAGGCAGGCAGCATCACAGCACCTACCCTCAGACTGCACAATAAAACCAGTTTCAAAGCCAGCATATGGCAGACGAATGAAACAGAGCTGAGGACACAACTACAGCTACAGGATGCTTGTCGAGGAGCCACAGCATATGTCAGTCTCTTGGCAAACTGAATATCCACATGTACAAGACTGAAATCAGATCCCCCTGCAATATTAAGATCTGACACTTAAAAAAAAACCACACAGGAGAAACATGTGAAGCCAAAAAGTACAGGCAAAAACTTCCTGAATAGGACCACAGTAGCACAGGAAAAAATATCAAGAATCAGTAGGTGGCACTATGTCAAATTAAAAAGCTTCTGGACAATAAGGGAAACAGAGAAGACAGTCTACAGAATGGGAGAAAGCCTCTGCCAGCTATTGCTCTGATAAAGGGTTAATATCTAAAAATATGAACAAAAACAACCCACACCAAAGTATCCAATAGCTTAGTCAACAAATGTGAAAATGAACTGACCAGATAATCCTCATTTGTAGTAGAACAAATGGCCAACAAGATCAACATGTCTAACCATTAGAGAACTGCAAATCAAAGTGAGGCTGAAACTCCGTATTACACCAGTAAGAATGGCCACCGAAAGTACAACAAATGCTGGTGAGGATGTAGGGAAAAGGGACCTTCTACAGAGCTGGTGTGAAAGCAGAATTAATATAGCCACTCTGAAAGTCAGTATAGAGGATCCTCAAAAAATTAAAAATAAAGCTACCATTTGATCCATCCATTCCACGCCTTCATGTATACTGAAGAAATTACAGGCAGCACCCCGGAGGGTTACCTGCACACCCGTGTGCATTAGACAAATTACAGAAACAGCTTTGCGCCCACCAATAGGCAAATGGGTAAGGAATACGTGGTATACAGCCACAATGGAGTTGGTTTGTGTGTGTGTGTGTGTGTGTGTGTGTGTGTGTGTGTGTGTATGTATGTTTCTGGGAGTCAAACCCAGGGCGTTGTGTATACAAGATGAGCTCTACACTGAGTCACTTCCCCAGCCTCTACCAGTGTAGTATTATTAAGCTACAGGAAAATGGATGGAACTAGAAAGCACCATGCTAAGGAAAATAAGCCAGACTTAAAAAGACAGGTATCAAAAATAAATAAATAAAAGACATGTATCAAATGTTCTTTAAAAATAGGGGGAGACAACAATTTAATAGGCAAAGTGTGGGAGAAAACAGGAAGGAGGAATGTGTAAGAAAAACGGGAAAGATGATCAAATTAAATAAATGCATTGAAATCCACTATTTTATGTACTAGGCACTTTTATTTGTTTGTTTGTTTGTTTGTTTGTTTTGGCAGAACCAGTGATTGAACTCAGGCCCTTGTGCTTTCCAGGGAAGCGCTTATTCCACCGGGCCATCTCCCCGGCCCCTAGGCACTTTTAAACAAAAGAAAACATCAAAACTTTCAAAAACAACATCATCTATTAGATACAACACTGCAAATGTTAAATTTCTGTGATGCTCCAAACTATATTATATTCCCTGACAATAAAACAAAGACATTGTCTAAAGCTTGTAAAAAAAATTTACACTGTTCTTCAAACTGTTTCAATTGCTTTGTGTGTACATTAGGTTTTTTGATAAGTAACACTGAAAACATTCAAAAAGAAGCAGTCAAAGTTGAGTTAAAAGTAAATGCCAAGAGCCTCCTACAACAATTCAACATATAGTAAGCATAGCTTGAAGTTCAAAAGAGAAGTGGAAAAATCACTTACTATTAATAACAAAATAAAGGCTATATGTACATACCCCCCCCCCACACACTGAGAACGTATAACATGCTAAAAGCTATGCTTTACAAATAGATTGAGGTAGCTGGGTGCAAAGGAAAGCACCTGTAATCCCAGCACTCAGGAGGCTGAGGCAGAAAGACCGCTGTGAATTTGAGACCAACCCGGGGCCACAAAGCTTAAGGTAAGCCTGAATTGCACAGTGAGATCCTGCCTCCAACCACCACCCACCTCAAAAGACAGGAAGACTTTACGTAGGCAGTGTTACATGTCTCTAATCCAGCACACTCTGGATAGCCTAGCAGGATAAATCAGTATGTTTAGTAGCCAGGTAATCTGCCAGGCTGGCCTTAATGTGGCTATTATTCTCATGGGCTGATTGACATATTTTCTAAACAAACTTTATGACAGCCCATGACTGGTTAAATTCCTAGATGGAGAGGCTAGAATAAGTACTAAAGACAAGTGCAGCAACAAGTTGTAAGATTTCCCATCTGAGGGAAAAATTCAAAGCTGAGAGGGGCAGAGGGTCTTATCTATACCTTAACTTGGTTAAGTCTTCACCTAATCCCTAGTCACCTCCTTTCCACCCATCCTACAGTCTGGCTTCTCAGACATGTGCCTGGTTAGTGGAGGTGATGGATGTAGTGTGCTATTAGCAGAAGGGCCTAATTTCCTTTATTTTATTATTTTTTTAATGTATTTGGTTGTTGCAGGATCCCACTATGCAGCTTGGACTCATGGTGATCCTCCTACTTTCAGTCTCCCCGGCACTGGGACTGCTGGCACGTGCCACCTCGTTCGGACTGTGGGAAGCCCTGGGGGCAGGGCTGGCATAGCATATGGTGCTAGGGATTGAACCGTGGTCCCTAAGCTTGCCTAAGCAGATGCTTTCGTCCACTGAGCTACCTCGCCAACCCCTAATTTTCTATTTCTGTTAAAAATGTTTTAAGATTTCTACCCCACACATAACAAAGCTTCAATGAGATAGTGCACACACAATGTAGCTCCAGTAAGATTTAAACAACCTGAAAAATTCCTATCACCTAGGGACAGTTTGTATTCACACATCTGTGGTGGTACTGGTGTAAAAAGTATGTGTTGCAAGCTGCACAAAAGCAAAGCAATACAATTACAGTGTACAATACGTGATGCAAATGGTGTTCCTGGTTTACATACTTACTATACTACATGTTCTATCCTTAGAGGCTGTTCCTTCAACTTACCAAGTTTACTGAAAACAGAATGCCCTGCTGTGCCAGTAGTATGCTCCCGTGTTTCCTGATGCCACACTGATTGCTGTGTATGATCTGGGTTTGCATGAGCACACTCCGATTTCCAAGGACCAGAATGCCTAGTGTATCCCCACCACTAAGTGACATGTGTCTGCACAGATTTTCTGAGCAGACTCCCAATTTGCATGCTGACCTACAGCTGTCAGTCATGAACCTTTCACATTCAAAGCTGTCCTGACTTGGATAAACAAAAATTGTATCACTAGTCTCTGCTGTTGTTTCCAATCTCCCCTGTACCTTTCTGTTATTCCCTAAGTACCTAACACATATGAGTCACTGAGACTCTTTCAACAGTTGACCAAATTCAATGCAAGGTATGCCGGAGTACAACCGTCTGGCCAGGTGCAGCGGCTCATACCTGCAATCCCAGCCAAGGGAGGCTGAGGCGACCACCATGAGTTTGAGGACAGCCTATAACAAAGTGAGTTCAAGGACAGCCTGAACTGTGTAGCAAAATACTGTCTCAAAAAAAGACAAGTCAGATTCCAAATAATCTTTCATTTGTAAACACACACTGAAATCTAGAGTAACAAATAAAAATAAAAGAAATTTATAGCTAATCTTATATTACCATTTTAAATCCCATATATTTTATTGATATGGTAAATTGTATCAAAGTATTCACTAGTAACTCTTACAGCCCAATTAATTTTCCCCACTTCTGTTTTCATGTAAAATCTTTAGCATAAGGGCAAGCAAAATAGCTCAGTGGATTAAAGCACCTGCAAGCAGGCACAGGGGCCAAGGGTTCGATCCTGGGCCTGTGTTGCTGGTCCCCGGGGTGCACTGAAATGGCAATTAAGACTGGGCACCGGGGCTGGTGTGATGGCTCAGTGGTCTAAAGCACCTGCTTAGAACAAGCTTAGCAAAGCCCAGGGACTACGGTTCAATCCCCCAGCACCACATGCCAGCCAGCCCGCCCCCTGGTGGACTGAGCTGGCCACACACACACACACACACACACACACACAAATAAATAAATAAAATTAAAAAAAAAAAGACTGGGCATGATGGTGCATGCCTTAATCCCTTTTCTTGGGAGGCTGCAAATAGGCGGATCACTACGAGTGCCATCTAGTAGCAAGACCCTGAACCCCCCTGTAGACCTTTCCCTACAACAACAAAATAATAATAAAATAATGAAAAATAAAATCTTTAGCACAATATGAAAAGATAGTGCACTTGTCATGTTATTAATTATCTAATCATTTTGTTAGGTGAATAGTAACTGTTTGACAAACTTACCTACAAATGCTCCAAACTCCACATTATCTCCTTGTGTAGCTTTACAGCAAACAGCTTCCTGACCTTTGGTCACAGTTTCCAAGTGGCTTCTGCAACTTGGCTGGGATGGCGTACTAACAGATAATTTGGTGGGTGGGGATGACAGATGTGGTGTGCTACTAGGTGAACTGCCTAATTTTTGATTTTTATTAAATAACTTTAAGATTTCTACCCCATGTCGTCTCTGTCGCAGCTCTGGAGGAGAAACAGCACTTGGGAATAAGGCACCACAAGAGGAACCAGCCTCTGGAAAATGGAATTCTTTTCTCTGGGGTACTACAGGTAAATTTTCAACAAACATGTTATTTGACAGATCTTTTTCATCTTTGATAAAAATATTACAAAGAAAAGGATTATTACTTTCAATATCACCTTGAGGAAGAGAAGAGCTAAGTGTATTTACAACACTGTGCTTTTTCCATACAGAAGGTCTTACAGGACCATCATCAATAAGGTTTTGAGCTAAATGTTTAGAAATACTCAATTCTCGTGTAATCTCATTATGAATTTTGCTAGCTTCTGAAGCTTTCTGGGCAGTAAGAGTTTTTAATGTATCTACTGTCAGAGCTGAAAGATCTTGCAAATGGCCAATTTGAGAATCTAATGACTGTAATGATCTTTTTATGTAGTTCACTCGATCTCCAACTTCTTTAATCTGAATGCACATCTGTTCCACTCTGTAGGAGAGAAATAGGCTTTTTACAAATATAAAAAAATTAATGTAAAAATTAGTTCTTAGTCTCAATAAATAATGGTAGAAACAAATTTTACATGCACTCAAATTAAGTTATGAAAAAAAATCTTGAATTACTTGTTGACTGTATTAGGAAAAAAACCCTTCAGAACAGGACAGTTTTACTTTCCTCTCCCTCAACAGTTTCAGGACACTAACTCCATTCTTTGGTGGAACCGGGGATTGAACTCAGGCCCTTGCACTTGCCAGGGAAGCGCTTATTCTACTGAGCCATCTCCCCAGCCCCTCTATTCTTTGAAACTGTGACTATGGTTGAAAGATAAGAAGAGGGATGGGATGTAGCTCAAGTGGTTAAGCGCCTCACTAGCAAAATACTGGGTATGAAGGTCCGTGTAAAGACTGACAAGAGAGAGTGAAAGAAAGTGAGAGGGAGCGAGCAAGCGAGGGGGGGTGCAACAACTGAATCCTATAAATAAGTAAAAGAACCGAACCGTCTTCCATTATACAATATAAACTAACTTGTTTTAACAAAATCCACAGAACAAAGACCACGCACAAGAGACATAACTAAGAAAATCTCTCCTGACAAACAATCAAGGATCATTAAAAAGCTTCTGAACCTTTCAAAAGTGACCCGGATCCTCTCTTCACTCCCTGAATGAAACTTGTCATCTTTTTCATTAAAATACATCTCAACACACAGTTCTTCAAAATCATGAAGTTTCTTTTGATCTTCTTCTGTTAGGTAAAGTTCTAAGTGAAGAAAAAATGAAAAAATTATGAAGGGCTTTTAGACTAACTCTTTAAATCCCAGGTCTTGTGAATTATTCTGTATTTTCCCTCTTAGTATTATTTTTTTAAAACACTAAACAAGTAACTTTCTCTTTTCTACTTACAAAACAGTGCAGGTACTTCTCTTCTAACTTCCATTTCCCACACTACACTTCTTTCATCTCTCTTAACCACCAGAGGATTAAGAACTTGGTAGAACAGAAAGCATTAAACACTGACTTAATGTTAAGCTCACATAGTTCATTAATGTGAAGCATATTGCTCATCTTAGGTGTTCAGTCTCAGGCAGTAGATAAAATGTACTAAAATTTCGTACTGTTTACAGAGTAATAAAAATGGTTTGTTTAAAAAAACAGCTAAAAAATTATAGTTTAGGGCTGGCCAAATCACAGGGGCAGGGGGTTCAATCCCTGGGGTTCGATCCCTGCCCCCGGGGCACCACTGAGCCGGCAACTGAGACTGGGCATGGTGGCGTGCACCTGTGATCCCAGCTCGTGGGAGTCTGTAAACAGGCAGATCACTACATCCGATCTAGTAGTGAGACCCTGAACACCCTGCAGACCCTTCCCTAAAATAAAAAAAAAATTTAAAAAATTATAGTTTGTTACTATTTTAACAAATACAAACTGAGAAGGTATCTTCTAAAAGAAAGTTCAATATTGTACTAAAACTACTTTTAAAGACATCAGGGGCCGGGGAGATGGCTCAGTGGAATAAGCACTTCCCTGGCAAGCCCAAGGACCTGAGATCAATCCCCGGTTCCGCAAAAAAAAAAAAAAAAAAAAAAAAAAAAAAATCAAATAGCACTAATAATCCCTTTACATTTAGGTAAATTTTAAAAAAGCCTTCACAATAACTTCTAACAATTAAAATCAATATTTACACTCTAGCACAATACTCATATGTGATGTAAATGTTTACCTTAATTTATTGTACTTACTCGGTCCATCAGAAGTCTTATCTTTTTTTCTTCTTTTACAGATGCAACAAAAGAGAGAAACTATATGGCTAAGAACGATAAGTGGAGGAGGCAGAACCGGTTTCTCATGATATGCCATAATAAAATGGTACCGCTGGTACTTCCACACAATATTGGAAATTGCCTTCACTTGTAAATAAACATTGCTAGGATAACAAAAGATAAACAAACTTAGCTAATCATATCTTAAATACTAAAAATTCTACTGCAATTCAGAAATACGTAAGAACTCAAAGAGTATTCTTCCACAGACCTAATAAATAAATGAAAAACTAGAAAAGATATATAAAAGAAATATAAGGAGGGTCAGCCAGATAGCTCAGTGGACTAAAGAGCCTGCTTAGGCAGTCACAGCGACCAAGGTTCGATCCCTAGTGTGCCACACCGGCCCCACTCATAGAGTACATTGGGACAGATGACTGACACTGGGCATGGTGGCACATACCTGTAATCCCAGTGCTTGGGAGGCTGAAAACAGGAGGATCACTACAAGTCCAATTGGTGTAGTGAGACCCTGTACTAAATACATTAAAAAAAAAAGAAGGGCCGTCCAAATAGCTCAGCAGATTAAAGCCCCTGCAAGCAGGCACAGGGGCCAGGGGTTTGATACCTGGGCCTGCAGTGCCGGCCCCGCGCCCAGGGTGTGCTGAGACAGCAATTGAGACCGGGCGTGGTGGTGCGAGCCTATAATCCTAGCTCGTGGGAGGCTGTAAATAGGTGGATCACTATGTGTCCAATCTAGTAGTGAGACCCTGAACACCCTGTAGACCCTTCCCTAAAATATTAAAAAAAAAAAAAAAAAAGGAAAAAGTTAATATTGTTATAGACTTTAATAAGAACCTCTCAGAAAAATGGAACGGGCAGAAATACTATGACTTTTAAGATGTAAAAAGTTGTAAGTAGCCAAAACATAAGAAAATGCCTATCTTAACAGTAATGAAATGCAGACAAAAATGCTACTTGTATGTACTATCAAAATGACAATTATTAAGCAATAATGCCTAGTTTTCGCAGCAAGTTGGAGACAAGCCTATATGCAAAAAGCCCTAAAAGGTATCTTCGACAACTCTGACTTTAGAAAAATATTCTAAGAAATACATGATTTCTATGCTTGTAAAAACTGAGAGATGTACATATAAATATTAAGAATGGGGAAAAAAGAAAGAATGGGATCAGTGATGAGGTCTATAGTTGCTTTCCTGTTTCCTATACTGAATGTGCACTCCTTGACAATGTGGGGTAAACCCCAGAGGAGGACCTAATTTATAAAAGAACTGCATGTTAAAAGACAGAAGTCTAAAATTTAGAACTCATTTGATTTGATAAAAAGCATCCTTTCCTACTTGTAATTCTTTGGAAATAATTTTAGTACTGTACTTTAAGGCTGAATAAAACTTCTAGATTTCAAAATCTGTATACATCAAAATGAGTAGGACGATACTGTACATCAAATTATTATAATAAGCAAATGAATAATATTCTTACTTGAAAAATGCAATGAGAAGATTAACCATAATTATATACTGCACAAAGAGGTAGACTGCTTGAAGAAATGGAGTCAACCACGTCCCAGGACCACAGAGTTTAGGAACAACAGAATCATTTGCACACACTTTAGGAAGAAAAAGAAGAAAAAAATCTTACATTGCCATTAATCAATGTCCATCTGTTTATTTTACTTAAAGAAGTCTGGATCATACACGATTCTAGTATACACCTCTGGATAGGCAGCCATAAGAACTCCAAACAACTTAAACTCTTCCAACAGCAAAGGGTTTACAGCAAAGGGTTTCATAGGGCTGTGGGTGTTCCATGTTCTACCACTATACAAGAAGTCTATTTTGATGTTGGGTATTCTCTTCAAGGCTGGATTTTAGCCTGAGAAACATTAAGGACGATAATGTTCTTGGATTCTCCCATACCATTATCCACAATTACATTTGTGTAAGAAGGTTACTGGAACCTCTGAAGTATGGTAAACTCAACAGCTAATTCTGTATTTTCCTGTATACAAACATAACTGAGTTTATTATGTCAAAAACACAGGATTGGAGGAGTGGCAAATGTATGCTAACTAGCTCTGAACTCCTTGGTTTTCACGATCCTGCAGTTTTTGTGAATGAAGCCAGACCATAGCTCAATACAAATAGGAAGAAAACAGCTTTAAATACCTATTATAGCACTGATAAGAGTGGATATTAAGATAGAACGAAGATTATAATGAAATCATTGTGAGTTAGTAACAATTCCTTTATACATATTTGTAATGCCAGACATGGCGGGGCATATGGTTATAATACTATTACTTGGGAGGCTGAGGCAGAAAAATCACCCCAAGTCTGAGGCTAGCCTGGGCTACATAGTAAGTTCAAGGTCAGCCTATTACACAGCAAGACTGTTTCTTATCACTTCTCGGCCTTTTGACCAAGATCAAGTGAAGACTGCCTCAAAAAACCAAAAATTAAATAATATTTACACTGTACTTAGCAGTTAGTACTTATTGTTTTAAAATATACCTATCATTGAAATTCTCATCAGGGTGATATTAGTCCATTAAATGGTTTTACAGGAAAATTGATGTTAATAAGGTCATTTTACTCCTAAGAATTAAAATGTAGTAACAAAACTGCCCAAGGTTGAACAGGTAGTAGTTATTAATTAGCTTATCCATACAAAATACTCGAAAATTTTGATTGAAACCTGAAATCAGTCATCCCCTATAAAACCCAGTGCTGTGTGCACACCAAGATTCCCAGAGGATCAGCCTGTCACTCACACTGCCTGACTCCTCACTATTCAGTCGACCTCATTGGCCTGAACTGAACACACACCTCCTATCTCCTGGTAGTAACCCCTCAGAGACAAACACTGAAGCCACCTGAGCTAATGAGACAAGACAGGTTCAAAAGGGGATGTCTGTGGAAGAGGGCTCTTCCAATGTTTCCCGTGGATAAACAGGGTCCTCTCTGCCAGTTTTGAAAGTCTTCCTAAGGAAAACCTATATAAACCAGACATGTCCACTATAAGCAGTGAGAAAAAAAGGAACAAGGACCCTTAACTATGAACTCAACAACCTTTCCCAAGACTAGCCTACCTCGCAACTTTCTGCTATGTGATTTAATAAATGTCCTCATTATTTAAGCAAATGCAGGCCATATTCCCATTATTTGTAATAGAAAAAATTCTAAAACGTTTGTTTGCCAGTTAATTTTTGTTTCTTCTGGAGTTAACAAATGTATGATGGGGCCTTAGATTTTAAGTCTGACTTTGGATAACTTGCAATTTTACTTTAATACAAGAATGACTTTAAAGGTAACCACAAGATGATTTTGTAACCATAAACATTTACCATCAATTTCATAGGCATAGACTTCACCAAAAATCATCCAGTATGGATGAAAAACTATATCTTTAGCAAGGGTCCAAGATGGTGCTTCATGAGGATAAAGTATTGCCTTTCTGGGAACACCAAAACTAAGTAACACAAGAGCCATAATCACTACAATGTAGAACATATTGGCCACCTATTAAAAAAAAAAAAAAAAAAAAAAGGATGTTACAATACAAACTAAACACTGTAACAAAGTTTCACCTTAAAAATGTCTCTAATATTCCATCGGTAATTAGAACTTCTGATTTCCTTTCTATTTCCAAAAACAGCATTCAGAGAAATCTCACCACTACACAAAACTCTGACACTAGGGAGACTGTATTGTTTGGTTTTGGTGCTGAAGACCAAACCCAGGGCTTCCAGCTTGCTAGGTAAGCACTCTACTGCTGAGCCAAATCCCCAGCCCCAACTGTATTTAAAAAAAAAAAAAAAAAAAAAAAATCTATGGCCTGGGCATATAGTTCAGTGGTAGAGCACTTGCCTAGCATGTTTTCAATCCCTGGCATTGTAAAATCAAATCACACACACACACACACACACACACACACCGTGAAGAGACCCTTTCTGACTATAATTAACTGTCATTGATGCAAACTGCAATCTGCCGATATGCAGGGTACACAAATACTTTCAAAACTACAGGTACACATGCAAATGTCCGTGAGCCCCATTCATAGTGCCTCTACTATTGTAGTGAGGTGCAGACTCTTTTCCACCTTCCCTTTGTAACTGGTGTCTGCTCACCTCAGGAAAAAAAAGCATTATTCTCCACCCGTCCTAAACCTAACGTTCTCTCATGGAGTATGAATAATTTATTAGGAGTAAAACCAAACAATATATAGATTCATCAGGATAGGCACTGAAATGTAAGTGATACTAACGTGTGAGGGATGCTTTTACTAGTCAGATAGTCTGAAATTCTTTAATTTCAATAAAATTGAGAAAGAGGGGCTAGAGAGATGGCTCAGTAGAATAAGCGCTTCCCTGGCAAACACAAGGGCCTGAGTTTAATCCCCGGTTCGGGAAAAAAAAAAAAAATTGAGAAAGATTAACTGAAAAATTCATCTAATAATTTTGTTAATTTACAATGTAAATCTGGACTTCCTTACAAAAGAACTCAAGAAATTAAAATACCGTTTTAATCTCTATCCTTAATTCCTATTTACTTAGGTATGTAACTTCTTTTTTTTTTTTAAATTTTTTTTTCTTTTCAAAGTTTTATTGATAAACATATAGCAATGTGTAACTTCTTAATATTTACATCTAGCAAAGTGAATGCTTTTCATGTTACAGATATATAATATTCATCCATGAATAATAACCTCATTGGGGAAAATAGCCCATGAAGGCCAAAAGACTACATATACAATAAATCTATACTTTAATCACTGTGAAAGAATAGTAATTAAATACTAAATCAATCTAAAAGAAATGACAATGAAAAAATGGAAAGCAGGAAAATCAAAGGCAAGAAATACTAAATTTGAGGAGAGGGACAGGACTGTTCAACAGTTACCCTGTATTTTCATTCTCTATAGAATTCATGTCGCTCATTTTTCAACAACCGACGTAACCCAGACTATATCTTGTCTATCTAACTTGGCTGCCAGCTAATTATTCCTCATTCTAGCATTCCGGTCAGGCTGTGCCTTTTTCGCTCAAATCTTATCTTACACTCCAGGAACAGATCACATCCTGTTTTTTTTTTTTTAAGGCATAAGGTTTTGGGTTTTTTTTTTTGCTCCGAATGCCTTCAGGGCATGACTGGCTGGCTTGAGTTGTGGGGATCGAACCACAGCAACCTGAGCCTGATTGCTTTGTTGAAGCAGCCCACATCCTGTTCTTAAAAGATGCTTTTGGAGAGCTCTCTTGCCCTGTGAATTCCAATATTTCATATTTATTAGTTCACTCAATAAATGGTACTGTTAGATAAAAATGTGCTAGAATCTCCTGAAATATCTTACGCAGGATGATAAAATTATCAAAAATAACCACTGGGTAGAAAGAGTAAAAATAGAGAAGGGTGGTTTCATAAAGTTCGGGGCAACAGCCTGAGGGTTATTGCACTGTATCACACAGCACAGAATAATAAACACTGAAAAGTACTAGTTTAGTAATTACAATTTTTAAAATTTATAATCTGTTAAGGATAATAAAATCTTAATAAAATTTTCAAAATAGAGGGGACGTTCAGTGTTCTTATGTAGTTTCCCCCCCTAAATTTAGAGTTACTTTATTCATGCAACCAACACATCTTTACTAAAGAGAACGTGGTACATGAAGACACTATGCGAGATACTAAAGAAACAGATGTGACCAAAACTAAATAAAGTTCCTACTCCAAGGAGTTTATAATCTAAGAAAAAGGTAAGTAATCCAGGAAGAACATAGGTGCAAACTTAAACAAGGGCACAAACAGTTTGAAGGGAAAGAGTCTCAGCAGGAAGGGCACAAAGGGAAACAGTACGAAGGGAAAGAAGTGCCAGAAGGGGATGTGGCAGACAAACCTGATCTAGCTAGAGGAGACCAAAAACAACTCTCGGGGGAAAAAATGTTGCAATTGTGATCTGAAGGATAAACATTAAGGTGATCTGTCAAAAAAGCTAAGGGTACAATTGCAGATGAGGGTGAACATTCCAAGTACAAAGAACATGAGCTACGCTATTCTGGTAGAAGCTATGTGAAAAGATTTTTAAGGCAGACCTTGGTATGTGGCCCAGACTATTCTCAAACTCCTGAACTCAAGAGCTCCTCCTCCACCAGCCCCCAAAAGCTGGGATTAAAAGTGTACACCACTGTGCTGGCACAAAAACAGTGGGGGTGGGGGTGCAAACTGGGCAGGCTTTATGGATTTTATGTGCACCAATCCCTTGGAACACTTTTTAAAAAAACAACTAAAACACCACTAAAAAAATTTTTTTAAGTGGGAAAGTGACATATTCAGATTTGCATTTTCCAATAATCACTCTAGCTATTGTGTAGATTGAAGACAAGCCACAGGATGGTTGTAAGGGAATATATTTGTTGACTATGGAAAGTATAGATGAGGTGGTTTGATCAGACAGCAGTAAAGATGAGAAGAAACACGCAGACAAGTTCATACTTCGCACGCCCATGCCAAACGCTCATAGAAGCAGCACTTTACGTCAAGGTAATATAAACAACATGTTCTAAGCTTTTCTTAAACTTTAAAAAGTTAGTAAGATATCCTTTAAGGAATAGAAGACTTGGAAGCCGAGGAAAATAAATGACACTAATTTCGCACTTTTATGACTCTAAGGAACAGTAAGACGATGGGCATCTGCAGACGCCCCCAACTTACCATCTTTCCAATCATCATGACATACGGTCCTGCCTGCTGATTTACAGCTAGAAAATCTAGCAGACGCACATACCAAAATATTATGTTAAGACAGTAAATTAATCTTCCAGCCACAAAAACATGATTATCATAGGCATTCTCAAAATTCCATTTTGCGCCAAATCTCAGTCCAAATCCAATGAAGAAAGAAATTATGGCAATTGTATCAGTGATATTGAAATAATCACTAAACCACACTTTAATCTTCTGGCTTATTTTTCCAGCCTCAGACATAAAGATCTAAAGATTTAAAAAGAACAAAAAGTTTAATCAATTCCTTATTAAAGCATACTGTACTCAATTATATCACAGTAGAATGTTAGCTATTTTAATATTTCAAAGTATTTTTGTCATTTTGGCATTTGCTGATCCACAGTCACGGAACACTAAAACAGCAGATAAGTATATCTTACAAATAAGTGAAGTGGCTCAAGCAAAGTCATCCAACAAGAAGGTGACAATCTTACATTACAACATAGTTCTCCAGAAATGCCTTAGAAAAGTTGTTTGACTTAGAATCAAAGCAGTACTTGAGTATTGTAGTATTTTCCAAAGATGTTTTATACAGCAGTTTAGTGGCTAAATGTCTTATACAGCAGTTCGTAGTTAAGATAGCTATGTTTATCTAACTTATTTAAAATACAAACTACTACTCAAACATAAGAACCAGGGGCCAGGGAGACAGCTCAGAATAAGCGTTTGCCTGGCAAGCGCAAGGGCCCGAGTTCAGTCCCCAGTTCCGCCAAACAAAACAAAACAAAACAAAACAAAGAACCCCCGTAAGAATCAGCAGTCAGGAGTACTTATAAAATAAATTTGTGTAACAGCTAAGTAGGCATTAAGTACCATGTTCTCTATTTTATAATTTTATATGTTCCCGAAATGTATAGCAGAAACACAAAATATAAAAAATATTTATGTAAGTACATTCATTATAAAATAACATTTATATAGCTGCCTATTTAAATAGAATATATAAAAATATATTTAAGGCTGAAAACATTTTTCCCAAAATCAAGGCATTAGAGAATTTACAATTTAAAATGAAAACTGACATAGGCAAATCTAAGTAACAACTAGTGGGCAATACAGTACATTTCAGTGAGCAGGACGATACCCAAGCAAAACGAAACCATACTTAACAGGCTATAAGGATATTTAATGCTTTTGGAAGAGTGGGAGAAAGCAAAACTATGAATGCTGAAGAAATATAATAAAATCTAGGCTACGTCAGAGACAGAAAAATGAAAAGACATACCTCACGGACTTTCTCAATAGCATAGGTAAAAATGTAAGCAATAACAATCCATTCTTGAACTGAAGGTAAGTGTTCCATTTGTACAAGAACAACAAATGTATAAAGCATCAGAAATCCTAAATACGCCAACTAATAAAAAAGAAAGGGTATATAAATAAAACTATTCCAAAATAAAACATTGAGGACAATTATATATACACAAAAATGGATCTGAACTATGGCAGGTGAAAGGAGGGGAGGGTACCAGGAAAGAGAAAAGGATAGAAGAAAAGGGAGGGGAGGAGACATTCTTTCTTTTCTTTTTCTTTTTTTTTTTTTTTTTTGGTGGAACTGGGGATTGAACTCAGGCCTTTGCGCTTGCCAGGGAAGCGATTATTCCACTGAGCCATCTCCCCAGTGGAGGAGACATTCCTGCGGCCACCTGGGTTGGCTGTATTTTAAGTACCTTTCACATGAATGCAAATGTAAGAAATCTAGGTTTCCATTAGTGGTGGAAGAATTTGGCATTTAATTCACTGAGATTTGCATTATCAGCATCTAGCAAGGAGAAGTGTTCACTGTAAGGAAGTTAGTAAACTAATCTCAGAAACAGGCCCCGTGTGGATGAGAATTGCTGGTTTCTCAAATGTCCATTATAACACAAAGTCAAGCGTACACTTTGGTATATATGTCTGATGTTGATGAAAGTAACAAAATGAAAACTCCTTAAGAATTTTTTTGGAGCCGGGCATAGTGGCGCATACCAGTAATCCCAGCACTTGGGAGAAACTGAAGCAGGAGGATCACTACGAGTTCAAGACCAACCTGGACTACAAAGTGAGCTCAAGACCAGCTGGACCTGCATGAGACCCTGTTTCAAAAAAGAAAAGAATTTTTCCTGGAAGGGGAGTAAAAGTTCATTCACTCAGACTCCACATCTCATTAAAAGCAGGGTGAGTTAATGTTTTGTCAGGAGCAGCCATCCCTGGAAAGTAACATCACCAAGACAGCCACCTACAAATTTCTAGTGCTCATGGACCTTGTCCCAGTAAAAACAACCCAAACAGTGAATTACATTAATAACCACAGTCAATAGGTGAGTCCATCCTCTCTGAATACACTCTTTAATCTGCTAGGAAGCTATACTTTTCCATAAAGTAAGAGAAAGTCAATGTGGCAAGCAACCCAGAACATAAATGAAATCAGCCACTCATAAATGAAGCCATACAAATCATGTAGATTACTCTTTACCATCAAAAGCAAACAGGACTATTTTAAAACTTTTGTGGATTATCTGTAAAATCTTAAAAGCACAACAAAACTATAATTGTGTACTTGAGTTTCTTTTGGTTCACACCTCACTTTTTTAAAAGTAGATATCCACTTATAAATGGCTATGTTTACCATATTTTTAAAATAAAATTTATTTCCAAATAGAACTCAGATTTGTTTACAATTCTAGATGTCAGCAACTTGGATAAAACAAAGTAAAGCTTACTGCTCTCCTAAAGAAAACATGCCTATTTTGTGATTTAAGTTGCAAAAAATGTTAGTATAGACTCTAGAACAAAGGTCCCCAAAACATTAAAAAAGCAACGATGCTCTCCCAAGTGCATGTGTGTGCACACACAAATCATGTACATGCAATTCAAAAACATACCGTGTTAAACCAGAACTTGACGATGGGTGCATGATAAAAGGCATAAAACTTGCGTGTGATTGGAAGCTTTTTTGATTTTATATGTATTTCCATTTCATTCTTTCCTTCATTACTGTCCAAAATCTTTACTTCTTTAAATACTTCCTAAATTTAAAAATATGTATTTATTATTCTACTCATAACAAACATGTACTTTAAAAATGTCCCTCCTCTTACCATGGGAATTTCTTCCGTTACATTCTGGAAGTTGTTCTCACTGTCTTCCATGGTCATCTGATGAGCGTCTTGGGACTGCGGGATGTGGGACATCTCGGCCTTGGTTTTATATTCTAACATTAATATAGCAGGTGGAACTAAAATGCTTAATATGACCTACAATTTTGAGAAACAAATTTGTGTTTTAAAATCAATGAAATTTAAGAATAGAAAAATCAGTAAAAAAGAAAAGAAATATAATTTTTAGTTACTTTTCCCCAGAAATGGAAGCAAAATACAAAAAAAACCCTAAAACTATCTTTTTTAACATACTTTATTTATAAGCCCAAGATCAACTGTCTTAAAGAATAAAGAAAACACTGACGTATTGATGAGGGCTGAGTAAATTCAACAGATATGTCCTTTAAATAGAAAATAATTTTTGCAGAAAAGTACTTTTAAGCAGAACGCAAGCATTATGAAGGCACTATGCACTTGATTTTATCCTGTCCTTTGCAAGTGTTCCACATCGTAACATGATTACTCAGCTCATGCCTCTATCAACAAGGATTGCTAAAATTTCACATTACTACTTGCAAAGTCTTAAAGAAGGAAGAAATAAGATGCTGTCTGTTCCTTCACTAGTATTTTTAGTACACGATTAATATTTGTTATCCACTTATAATGGTCAATAGTTAAACAACTTGCCTGATTGCTGCCTTCTGCATTTCTGTACCTTACTTAAAAAAGATACGAGAAAATAAAAAGGGAATTTTAAAGCAGTATCTTTCACTGTAACAAAACTGAAAGGACCAGACATTTTGGCCAAATTCTTTTTTTTTTTTTTAAATGTATTCAGTACAGGGTCTCACTATTTAGATCGGACTCAAAGTGATTCTCCTGTTTTCAGCCTCCCAAGAACTGGGATTACAGGTGCACGCCACCATGCCCAGTCTCAATCAGTTTCAGCATGCCCCAGGGGCAGGACTGGCACAGCAGGCCGGGAATCGAACTCCGGCCCCTGTGCTCTGCCTAAGTAGATGCTTTAGAGTCTGGAGTTTTAAAATTTGAAAATTCACCTTTTGTCAAGCAATAATACTTTTCATTATTGTTCAGGGCCATGAATACCAGAGAGTATTTTCCACTGTAGCCCTTATGTAACTTAAGGAGGGCAACCATCCCACATATAGGAGAACATTAAAGGAGGAAAGCACAGGAGGAAAGAAGGGAACGTTATGCCACTTGGATGAGATGCCAGCCAGCCACCCCCACCCCTAATCGAAGAACTTTACTATGTGTCTAACACTGATTTCTCTATTCCTAGCACCCACTCACTTAAGAGGCCAATTATTTCTAAGGTATACCTTGTACCACGAATTCTTCCTCATATTCAGCCTTCCCATCCACATATCAGATAACAACATTTGGGTACACGTGTGAGCTACAAAAGGTCTGAGTCTTGAAGAAACTGCTAACTTGAGGCAAGTGGAATTACTCCAGTTTTTCAGTTCATAAGTGAGTAATTTCATAGCCATGGTTTCATCTTGTCTGAAGGATTGTTCTAGCAATTCAACTGCTAGTTGACCAAAATCACTACAAAAAGAAAAGCCAAAATATATTCAGATTACTAGATCTGCAGTGATTATTGTTTGGGTTTTCCATGCAATACTGCAGACTAAACCCTGGGCTTTACATCTACTAGGCGAGCACTCTACTACTGAGTGAGATATTTACAGCCCACAAATTATAGTTTTAACCAGCTAATTTAAAATTCCTTCATAAAATGTCTTAGTTTTTAGTATTTTCACATAGGCTGATGAAATTAGAATCAAACCTCTAAGTTCAGACATCTACATCTACGTGAAAATCAGGAAATACTGGAATATGTTACATGAAGTGTAGAATTGAAAAGGTATATCCAGAGTACTGTTTTCTGGTCTTAGAAACACAGGAAATCCAAACTAACAACACTGCAGCGTTCTGATCAAAAACATTTCTATGTTGCTTCTTCAAGCACAGAAAAGATGGCCTGCATCCGATTTGATTTGAAACTGTCTCATTGCTATCTGTTTATCAATAAAACTGTAGAAAAAAAAAAAAAAGAGATGGCCTGCAGAGAGGAGCAGTAATGTGTGTCTGCACAACCTAACGAGAACTGCTGAGATCGTCAGTGCTCACGAAGCAGCCACTAGCGCCCTGTACGAGTGACTGTCAGGAATAGCTGTTACTCTGCCCAACACAGCCCATTTGGAGACAGAGAAGTCCAAGTATCTGTTAGAAAACTTCCACAAATTCATTTCCAGCTTAATATGACAATCCTGCCCTACATGCACTATATATAGCGTAAGCTACATGAACAGTTCCTTCATATATGGGACCCCATCAGCCCCAAGTTGAAATCAATCCATTTCCTTGGAACATGCCTCAAACAAATCTTTTTTCCCCTCACCATTCCAACTGTAATTCTTCTAACTGCTACAAATAAAATTATTAAGCCTACTTCTGGGATGTTTTCTTGAACTGCAAAGAGTAATGATATTTCTTTCATATACGCAAGTAAAAATTTCTTTCCACATTTTTAGAAATAGCTCATATACTTAAAAATAATTCTCTCTTAGCTGTACCGTAAGTTTTATATACACATATATCATCAAACATTGTATATGTCTTATATTTTTTAAGTGCTTGAAATGATAAAAGATCACGAACTTAGAATACTGCTTCAGTTCCTCTGAGGTATCGTCCACCAGGTCACTCTGCTTCGCTTCATATGCCATGGAACGATAGATCTTACAGGCAACTAATGCCTTAGCCATTGACTCTTCACCATGCTGCCACAGAAAACGGGCCATGACCTGCCTCTTCATAAGGCAAGCCCAAATTAGCAGTTCATTCAGTGGATACGGAAAGCGCTTGGTTTCTGGGTCATCAATGTCTACAATATCATCTTTGGTTCTTTTCTTCTTTCCTTCTTCCACAGCTGTATCAATCTTTAAGGGAAAATAAATGCAATAAAGCTCATTGTATCAAGGCAAATGATACTTCAATTAGTAAATGTGTACAAATTGTCTTTCCTATTTTCCAACTTCATAAAACTAACTCATAACAAAAAGCATAAACTTGATAAAAAATTACCCCATTTCTAAGTTATGTCCCAGCCTTTTAAATTTGTGTGTGTGTGTGTGTGTGTGTGTGTGTGTGTGTGTACACCGGGAATCAAACTGAAGACCTTGTGCTTGTTGGACAGGCATTGTGCCACTGAGCTATCTCCCTAGCCCCGCCATTTTTAAAATTCTGAGAGAAGGTCTCACCTCATCTGCTCAGACTAATTTAAAACTTGGAATCATCTTGCCTCAGCCTAAGTAGATGGGATACAGGTATATGTCAACACTGATTTTAAACTTTATTTTTACTATAGCTCATAATTTATTTTATAAAAATGCCATTACCAACTGGGCATGGTAGTGCACACTTGTAATCCTAGCACTCTGGGAGATGATGGCAGAAGAACAGTAAGTTGAAGTCCAGGTTGGGCAACTTAGTGAGACACTGCCTCAAAAAGAGAAAACAAGGGCTAGCCAAACAGCTCAGCAGATTAACGTGTCTGTAAGCAGGCCCAGAGGCCCAGGGTTTGATCCCCAGGCCTGCGTGCCAGCCTTGCCCCTGGGACGTGCTGAAATGGCAACTGAGACTGGGCGTGGTGGCACACGCCTGTAATCTCAGCACTTGGGAGGCTGTAAACAGGTGGTTCACTATGAGTCCGATCTAGTAGTGAGACCCTGAATACTATATAGACCCTTCACTAAAACATTTTAAAAAAAAAGAAAGAAAAAGAAAAAGAAAAAACAAGCTGGGCATGGTGGTGCAATCCTGTAATGCCAGTATTCAGGAGGCTGAGTCAGGAGAATTTCTCAAAGTTCAAGGCCAGCCTGGGTTACAAAGTGAGTTCAAAGCCAGCTTGAACTGCATAGCAAAACCCTGTCTCAAAAAGACAAAATCAAAATTAACAAAAATGAAAATTGCTGGAGATATCATATACCTCAGCATGAAGGCCATGGGCTCATCCCTAGCACCACTCCACCAATAGCCATTTTATCCAAAGTATCTGAAAATGCCTGTAACAAATGTTTTCTAAGACTGGAGACAGGGCATATTTCAACTAATATCTAAGAAAACACACTTTTATAAGAAGCTTAGATAACACTTTGTTGTACATATTAACTAAGTGAAAATGGAATGAGTTACAACTGTTTGAAATTTGATTATACACAGCTAAATATGAAAAACCTACTATAATTAACTCACAGTATCTCTGCATATGAGAAAATGAAGATTCAAAGATACAAATTATCCAAAAATAATTTCAGTACTAGTAATTAGAACAAAATCAAAATCCAGCAGGAGTTTATATTAGTATACTTTTCGTAAGCATAATGATTTATTTGCTCTTCAATTAGCCAAAAGGCTGAGAAGCAATCAAAACATTTTCTCCAAAATAGCAAGCATACATACCTTTGGTCTGTAGGGCTGTGCTGTTTTAATAAAATGATTATGTCTCATTTTCTCCTTCTTATCTGCTCTATTGCCAAAAGATTCATGACTCTTCCGCAATTGTGGAGTGCTGCTAGAGGTATTCCGGCCAGATCTCTGAAAATCAGAGTTTGTTAGCTTTCACGGCTTCAATGTGCTGACATTATAAAAATTCAACTGTACTTATTTATGTGTATGCATGTCCATAAGCAAAATATTACTGGTTTAGGATTTCAATTATGACATGTTTTTTGAGACCAGGCTGGTCTCAAAATCCTCCTACCTCAGCCCTCTAAGCAGCTGGGACCACAGGTATTCATCACCCTGGCCAGCTTATGAAATATTTCCAGTTACTCTTGGTGGAAACTTCAAAAACTAAAGATACTATATTCACCAGATTACTAATTTTTAACATTTAAAATACATAGTTTAACTTTAAAACACATACAAAAACTACCCCCCAAATTCTACATACCCGATTATTTCCACCAAGACTGTTATATATTAATCGGAAACGTTTCCGAGTATAGGTGCATCTGTAGGTTCCTCCCATGAGATATTCAATAACAAGTCCTATATCAATCAGCGTGATCTTATATCCTGGAGGAAGATTTCCCTACAAACAAAAATTAGTTTTAAGCATTTGTCAATACTACCATGACAAACTGTTTTCTTGTAAGAAGCCAGGACTGTCAGACTATACATACATACATACATACATACATACTCCTTTGGGTTGGTACTGAAGATTGAATCCAGGGCCTCACACATGCTAGGCAAGCACTCTACCACTCGGCTACATCCCTGGCCTTTTTCATTCTAAGACAGGGCTCCTTCAATGGGCAAGGCTGGTCTTAAATTTGGCAGCCTGTTTCCTCCGCCTCTGAGCAGCTGGCATCATAGGCCTGTGCTACCATGCCATGCCAGACTTGTTTTTCTATTTCCTTTTGTGAAAAGACAAAACTCTGAGGTTTTGAAACTTGAAAGGAATACAACCCAAAGTAGGAAGATAACTTGGTTTCTCCACTGCCCTAAAACCTTACAAATAGCAGCAATAGAATTATTAGAGCCTATGTTTCAGTTTCATGATAGTACATATCGTAAAAAACATTTTCCTATAAGAAATACTATGCGTTTACTGTATTTCCTGACTGACCCAGAAATATCAATATTCTTTAACAAAAATCATACAGACTGCACCACAGGTCAAACTGTTACATCTTTGTCCACTAAGATTACGCATTTACACCTAAAACTCCATTTTTCTTGGGCAAGAATCAACTTACAAATGAACTTTTTTTTTTTAAAATTCCTTGCTTTAGATGCTTTTTTTTTCCCCTTACATTTTTTTTCATAATTTTATTGATAAACAGATAGAAATGAGACAGTTTCAAATCAAATCAGTAGGACAGTTTCAAAAACTAACACATTGCATACACTCTTCCTAGTGGTTAATTGCTGTAGAAGATGCGGACTTGAGATCCTATTTACAAACACCATTAGAACAAATCATTCTATTCATTAAGAGAATGCAACTATATATCTATCCCAACCACTTTGAATACACAGATACAAAATGGACATTCATCGGTATACCCCTTTTTTTCTAAGTTCCGTTATTTGAATATTATAGGTGTGTAAACTCAGCAAAATATTCTAAAAGAGTCCAGTAGCCCATAATAGCATTCGGTCTTCTGTTTAACTGGCAATGTCAGAAATTGTTGACTTGAGTCCCCCACAGCTCAACATAACAGCATGGCTTTACTTCCTATATTTCGTTTTCATATTTTTCTACTGGATGGTTAAGACCAAGATAAAGCAGGACCTATACAACAAGAGTTGTAGCTTTTGGGTCTGAGAAGGTCGGTGAAATCCCCTCAGGATTTATCCTGAGATCCTGTACCTCAGATTGTAGAACCTTTGTCAGTGTCAGCCATGTGGATGATACAAATGAACTTTTTGACCTGAGGCCATTTATAAGTTTGTAAATACTACCAATTTCAGTAATTAACCCGAAAGAAGCTTAATCCATCAGGGTAATTCTGCCCTCCCACCACTTCCATCCTTCCTGATCTCTCCTCTTTCTCCCTCCCTTTTCCCCCCTAAATGTATTTGGCACAGGGTCTCACTATGCAGCTCAGACATGTAGTGATCCTCCTGCTTTCAGCCTCCCCAGCCCTGGGATTACAGACCTGCACCACCACACCCAGTCTCAGTCACCAGCTCAGTGCGCCTGGGTGCAGGGCCAGTGTGGCACATGGTAATGGGGACTGAACCTCAGTCCCTGTGCTTGCCTAAACTGAACTTTTTTTTTTTTTTTAAATGTCTACAGGGTCTCACTATGTAGACTGGGCTCATAGTGATCCTCCTGTTTACAGCCTCCCAAGTGCTAGGATTACAGGCAGGCGCCACCATGCCCAGTCTCAATCAATGTCTCCGTGCACCCTGGGGGAGGAGGCCCGGGGATCTGCTACATCCTGCCTAAACAGGTGCTTTAATCTGCTGAGCTACTTGGCTGGCTCTCAGAACATAACTTTTAATCTTCTTTTTTCGAGAAAGCATCTTGTTTTATAACCTGAGATGGCTCAAATTCATGGTCCTCCTTACCTTTGCCTCCCCGAACTATTATTTTATTACATGCTTGTATCTTTAATATTTGTTTCCTTTTCAAATTTCTAATTTCTAGGCAGTGACTTTATTATTTAATAATTGACCAAGTACTTATTTCCAGTGGGCTAGGGATATAGCTCAGTGGCATAAGCGCCTGCCTGGCAAGTGTAAGGTCCTGAGTTCAACCCCTGGTACCACAAAAAGTTAGTAAAATCAAGTGCATGGGGAGATAGCTCAGAATAAGCACTTTCCTGGCAAGCGCAGGGTCCTGAGTTCAATCCAAAATAGTATTTATTTCCATCTAAAATACAAGATTTTTGTTTTTAACTCAAGCAACTTCAAGATATGCTTTATTACTGAAGATGCTATTTTCTATATTAGATTTTTTAAATGTGACAAATATCACATGAGCCTACCTGAACAACTTTTTTTTTTTTTTTTGGCGGAACCGGGGATTGAACTCAGGCCCCTGCGCTTGCCAGGGAAGCACTTATTCCACTAAGCCATCTCCCCAGCCCCAAGAACTGAGCTGGGGCCAGGCCCCGAAGTCTTTTTTTTAAACTGGGAATCAAACTCAAGACGTTGCACTTGCCAGGCAGGCGCTTATGCTGCTGAGCTATCTCCCAGCCCCTGAACAGGACATGTAAATAACATGAGTCATCGAAAAAGAAGTCATGATTAACAATGTCTCCAATGATACTGACAATACTTACAAACTCAGCATTAATTTACATCAGAAAATATCTAGTTACTCCATTTCAGAATTTATAACATGCAGAAATAAAACAATTTGGCCTATTACAGTCACCAGTAAGATGATTCACTTCTTTTCAGAGTTTAAATACATTACTACTTCTTTTTCTCTTTTTGGGGACGGAGCCCACTGAGGATCAAACGCAGTCTTTATTAAGCATGCTGGGTCCCTGCGCTACCACAGAGCTGTACCTACCATTCCATACTACACTTCTTTTTGCTGATTCATCTAAGAAAATTATAACATGAATGAACACATTTGAAAGACTCCTAGTAATTACCCCATTAGGAATGTTCAAAATAGGCAAATCTTGAAATTAAGTGCCTAGGGTGGGAGCAGAGGTAGGGAACAGAAAAGGAATATGGAGTGACAGCAGGTAAAGAGTCGTTTTCTGAGGTACTGATGCTCTGTTTTGCTTGTGGAACTGAGGACTGAATCCAGAGCTCTCTGCTCCAAGCCACATCTGCAGTCCTTTGTTATTTCTGATTTTGAGGTAGAACCCTACTAAGGCGCTACGTTGCCTAGGCTACTACTTGAAAAGGGTTACACCTTCTGCTATGACAGGTTGCGGCACCTGGCCAGCCTCGAGCTTCTGTTGGTGCTGTGCAATTGGACAGTGGCAAAAGCTACACGACTCTGAGAACAGGACGTCAGGAAGATACGGTTTAAGTACATAAACTTACCCTGTGTGAAACACAAAATAAAGCTGGAAAGAAAAGCTCATGTTTAAAAACTCAAAAAGCAAAAATTTTAAAGTATAACATGGCCTGAATTTTCATACAGAATGCTGCCTTAGTATTAAGTTGCAAACCACAGAAAATTAAAGGAGAAAATGACATGCCTGCCTTAAGTTTTCAGGGTTTTTTTTTTTTTTTTTTTGCGGAACCAGGGATTGAACTCAGGCCCTTGCGCTTGCCAGAGAAGCACTTATTCCACTGAGCCATCTCCCCGGCCCCTAGTTTTCAGTTTTTTAACACTGAATATAGAACAGAAAATTTGAGAAAACTAGTTTAAAAAGAAAGCAGATGAAGTTTAAAACTGTGAAGCCACAGAGACTTCCAAAAGTGAGAAGAAGCCAATGTGGAGTGGTTTCAGAACCCAGGGTGGTGTGTGCTCAAAGTTGTCACCAAACCAGATCCTTTTACACAAAGGGGAAGAGCAGCCACCAAGATGACCACCTCCCCGTGTACTTCAATTTCCTTCCTCAGTATCTTTTATACTAAGAAAAATCTCTAGGAAACTAGTTTCTGATGAATAGAGAAAAATAAACACTATCAATGAACACCCTCTTATGGACCAAAGATGCTAAAATCCATCACACTCTATCATGGACGGCTAAGAAGTCAAGATAATGGCCTTAGTTTCAGAAACCTTCCCTTTTCTTTATTGCAAATACATTATGCGTTTCACTTTAGTCTTTTTTTTTCTTAATGTATTTAGTATCGGGTCTACAGGGTCTCACTACGTAGACCAGACTCATAGTGATCCTCCTGTTTTCAGCCTCCCACGTGCTGGGATTACAGGTACATGCCACACCCAGGTTCAGTCCTCATCTCAGCGTGTCCTGGGGGCAGGGCCAGCACAACACTCCCGGTGATCGAACCCCTGCCCCTGCCTAGGCAGGCACTTAGTCCACTGAGCTGTCTTGCCAGCCTTATGCTTTTCACTTTTATCACAAATTTAACCCTTCCAGGGGCCAGGGAGATGGCTCAGTAGAATAAGCACTTCTCTGGCAAGCGCAAGGACCTGAGTTCAATCCCCAGTTCCACCAAAAAATAAATAAATTTAACCCTTCCATTATCTTGTATAAAAGGCTGTTATTTCACTGCCTATCTTTTTTTTTTGGCGGAACCAAGGACTGAATTCAGGCCCTTGTGCTTGCCGGGCAAGCAATTATTCTACTGAGCCATCTCTCTGAACCTTGCCAATCTTAAAACGAAATGCTTTTCCAAAAATAAAGTATGAATGATTTTTTACAATAACATTTTCAAAAACAAAACCTCTTACCTGTTTGACATCTCGAACAAGATGAAGTAGCATTGGATTAGTTGGGCCTTGTTTCTTTAGGAAGAGAGAAAAAAAAGAATTACGTTTTTCGCTAAAAAAAAAATTTCCTTCTTACATATGGGACTAACAAGGATATTCATCTACAAATGATGGTGCTTCAGGGTCATTTCTTTAGAACAAAGGTAAGATGATAAATATTTTATACTTTTATAATTTTCTGCTGGATGGTTAAGACCAAGATATAGCAAGACCTATATACCAAGGAATGTAACTTTTGTATCTGATAAGGTCAGGGCTACAGGATAAATCCTGAGAGTACTTGGCTGGCCTTATCAGATACAAAAGTTACATTTCTTGGTATATAGGTCTTGCTATATGTTGGTCTTAACCATCCAGCAGAAAAGTATAAAAACGAGGTATATAACGTAAATCCATATTAATATGATGAGCTGTAAAAGGCTCAAGTCAATAACTTCTGAAGATAACTCACTAATATTATAGACTGCTAGACAGTGTTAGATTGTTTAGTTGAATTCAAACACCTATAGTATTTAGAAGCCAATACAATATTCACCTCTGACAGGACAAAAAAATTAAAATTTAAATTTAAAAAAAAAGATACAAAGGAAAGATCATTTTGTATTTATATATATAAAATAGTTAGGATAAATTTACAGCTACTTTCACTTAACTCATTGAGAAGAAAGAGGTGTACTAACAGTGTTTGGACAGAATATCCTGTCTGCTTCTTGTACTATGAACAACCACTAAGAAGATAACAATGTACAGTGTATTGACTATCAAAACTGTCCTATTAATCAGCTGTGAAACGGTCTCATTCATATTTATTTCTCAATAAAAAAATAAAAATATATAAAAAAGATGATACATATTTCATATTGATATATTTAACAAAAAAACACTGGAGCTGGACATATACCTCCCAAGCGCAGTCCTGAGTATGACTCCTAGTACAAAAAAAACCTAAACAAAACAAAAACTAATTCTTTAAAAATAAATAAAATAACACGAGTGATTTCAGAGAATCACTAAAATTATATGTAAACTTTTGTTTTATAGAAGTCACATTGACATTGCTACACACCTGTAATCCCAGCACTCCTGAGGCTGAGGCAGGACTACCATCTGTGTCAGGCCAACCTGGGCTACCTAATGAGTTCTAGGCTAGCTTGAGCTTGAATTTCAAAACAAGACTGTCTCAAGACAAAAACAACAACAAAAACTATAAAACAAAAAATAAGTCATGTCAATGGTGAAAACTTCACAGTCCTATCTTAATTTGAAATTCAGTTACTTTTACTGACAATAGAACTGCACATTCCCTTTCTTGTTGAAATGTTCTTTTGTCACCAATCATCAGATTGTTTAAATATTTTAATATTTTGAGTAGCAAATGCTTTAGCTTTTATTTTCTTCTTCATAAATACTCTGTATTAGGGCAGGTTAATCACAAGTTTTACCATCTTAGTCATCTTTCATTTTACTCTGACAGCATTCTTTGATCTGAAAAAATATCAAGGAATATGTAATCCTGTCAATATTGAGGTAAGTGGCCCCAAAATGTATTGTTTTACTCATAAAATTTGTGACAATTCTATATGGTACCAATAAAAGGACTTATTCTTGAATAAAGATGTTAAAACTTGTTCAACAGAATTTTACCAAATGAAATTTTTTTGCCTTTGTGGGGAAGGGGGTTGGAGGCAGGGTCTTACTACATAGCACAGGCTGGCCTTGAACTTGCACCAATCCTCCTATAACCCCCCAAGTGGGCAACAAATAGGATTTAATCCTTATTATTTTACTGATAGTTTTTTTATAGGATAGGTTCTTATAGTAATCATTATACTTTCCAATTTTGACCCTATATATTTCGAAATGTTTTTAAATGTAGGTACAACTACTATTATGTCTTTTTATTTTTATTTATTTATTTTTTTGGCAGAACAGGGGATTGAACTCAGGCCCTTGCACTTGCCAGGGAAGCACTTTTTCCACTGAGCCATCTCCCCAGGCCCATTATCATGTCTTTGAAGGAAGTATTTTTTTTGATACTGTTGGCTTCCAAATTCTATGTAGTATCTAAGATAACTGTAATTGATACTGAATGTAAATTGTATTTTGCCCTACTTTGTTGTCTTTCTGAAATACTATAGTCTGTGCACTCTGGCTGGCTTCTCTTTGCCTATTTTCCTCACAGCTTAACTCTGTTAATATGAAGTGTTCAAAATTTCTAGGGTATGAGAAAGTTTCACTACCTTTTCTCCAAATATATAAATTCACAGAGAAATACACTTAAAATTTTTACATTCTATTTTATCTTAAATCTATTGGAAACTTATCTATTAAAGGGTTTTAGCAAAAAATAAATACTTTGCAAGGCAAGCTCTCAAAATGTGGCCAATAGGCAACATAGGTCTCCAAGACCGTCCCTTGCCGCCTAGGACACCAAATGATTGTCAACATCATATCAAGTATAGACGCATTGTTTTACTATCATTCTTTTAATGTCTGCTGGATTTTTTCACAGGCTTCTTGGTGCAGGATATCATAAGACTTAATTCAGCAGCAAACAGGGTCTAGGCTGCTCTGATGAAATCAGGCACTAAAGAGATGTTCATTATAAAATCAATTTACTCTCCTCACTAATTCCTTTACCCTAAAAATGTTGCTGACTGGAGCTGTGGCTCAGCAGTGAGCAAGTGTGCAAGGCAAACTGTTGGCCCTGCATTTAATCCTCCGCACGCACGGAGGAGTTAGTGATATAGATTAGCAATAACTGAGTAATACAAAGACATCAGGAATGAAAGCAGATAGGTACAATTTTTTTTTTTTTTTTAATTTTAGTGAAGGGTCTACAGGATGTTCAGGGTCTCACTACTAGATCAGAGTCATAATAATCCGCCTGTTTACAGCCTCCCAAGAGCTGGGATTACAGGGGAGCACCACCACACCCAGTCTCAATTGCTGTCTCAGTGCACCCTGGGGGTAGGGCTGGCACAGCAGGCCTGGGATTGAACCCTGGGCCCCTGCACCTGCTTGCAGGCACTTTAATTTGCTGAGCCATTTCGCTAGCCCAGATAGGTACAAACTGATGAATGAATGGATACTGAGATGGCAAACTCGGAAAGCTAGGACTTAGTGTCCCTCCATACCCTGCTCAATGAAATTCATATTGGTACCACAGAAAACCATAGAGAACAGTCCAACGTTTGTGTCATGAAATTTGAAAAGAAATTTTTTAAAAAGGCTCTATAACAATAACAAGTTTTCATGAGCTCTTCACATTCTTTATCAGGCAAAGGAATCAAGAGAAACCTCATCACCCTCTCACAAGTTGATTCTAGTTTTTCAAAAGGAGGAGAAAGAAAGGGACATAGAGCTGGAAGTCTTTATCTCTATCCTATGTGATTGTGTACCTACAAGACATACATGTGCTACAGCGGGCTGTTTGTTATCACTGAAAGTTCTAACAGGTCTGCCACCACTTCTATATGACTATGAATAAAAGAAAGGGCTCCTCAACAGGAACAGAGTTTTGGATTTTCATACAAGCAACCCATACTAATACTAGCTGCATTTCTTTCCCTACAATCAAGAAAGACATGAAAGGCTTTTTATTAATAGGAATGGGTATATGTAGTTAAGTAAATTGACATTTCTAAAAGATGATGAAACTGTCAATAAAGAATTTTATCTCATACTTACAGTGTTATAAAGTTCTTCCAGTCTTGGAATGGTAAGGAACTTATGCATGCTAACTCCATTTTCAATAAGAAGTTTTACAAATGCAACTCTATCCATCACAAGAGCATCAAGCATAGCTTGTTCTAAGGATCCAACCTAGAAGAATTATTACAATTAAATATGCTTACATTCTACTAACAATTTCTAATTGTAAGTTTATAGGATTTACACCTATTTGTTCTCAGTTTTAGAATAAAATTAGAAGGATGTAAAACAGTAACAATCTAGGCCTTCAGCGTAGAACAGTATTTTTTAAAGAATATTCTATGAACACTGTTTGTGTAAAAGGACAGTGTTTTATGGAGCGATTACAAAGTTTATTACCAAGTAATTACTTAAAAGTTTTGTTATCTTCTTTGTCTTATAATTTATGTAGTACTTATAAAATTTCATTTTGATATACTGAATAAAGTATAACAAATGCTTGCTTTTATTTTTTATTTTGCTCTGCTATTTGGTGATACTGGTGAGTGAAGCCAGGGCCTCACACTTGCTAAGAAGGAGCCATATAACAGGTCTATATTCCTATCCTTTAATTCTTGCCTTTAATAAAGGAGTGTTCTATCTAGCTGGGTTTATATCCCCTGCCCTAGAAGAGCATCAAACCTGTTTTCTTAACTGAAGAAAAAAAGATGCAGCTATAACAAACACAGCTGCTTTGTACACAGCATTGCTCCACCCAATGTATACTGGATGGGGGACAAAAAATCCAGCAACTGTCCTATAAACTTCAAGCTTAGCATGAAGCACAAAATCAAACAGGTAACATAACAGGCACACCCATTAGACAAATAAGCATATATACAAAAAACAAGGTTCCACCCAAGCCTTTCTGTATGAGTAGACTGAAAATCCAATGAAATTATTCCAGGAAGTAAACGTTAGCTTACAACTCTGAGCTTACCACAAGCAACTAATGTCCCTTTTTTCCTCTACAAGAAGGAAAGTGATCTCTTTACTACTGCATAGAAAATACAGTATTATGCTTGAAAAACTTCAAATACAGTGATCCCTCACTTATCTCAGAGACTCCAATCCAGACAGCCCTGTGATAAGTGAAACTCAGTGAAGTAGTGATGTTGTATTTTAGTATTTATATATACATTAAGACTTCATACACTCTTCCCACACTGTTATAAACCCTTCCCACACTTTTTAAAAAACACTTCTGATTTTTTAACCATTTTCCAAACTCGTAAACCTACATAATTTTAATAAAGTACATATACTGTATGATACAGCATATATTCATCTGCTAAAACACATGCCATAAACAGTGTATCCTATTTCTATTTAATATTCTTTTAATGTTAGAGTTAACATTTTAATACTTTTATATTTTTAATTTTTTAGGCAAAAATTATTAAAACCATAAATACTTCACATACAAATATGTATACAGTATTTTACACTACTGCAAATCCTGCGATATAGTGAAAAATCCACGATAAATAATTTACATTAATATTTTTTGAAAATCTAAAAAACAGTGAGTCTGTGAAAGTCAAACTGTGAAATAGCGAGGGACTACTGCACCACAAAATAATATAAATCTAAATTTTCTCTCTTGGCCTTCATCTTATAAAACTAAATTTTCTCTTTCCTGGCCCTCATCTGCTTTACACATACCCCACATTTATGGCTCTATAAAGACATTCAGGGGCTAGAAATGTAGCCTGGTGATATAGCGCTTGTCTAGTAAGCTTGAGGCCATAGGTTTGGTTCCCAGCACCAAAAATAAAATCTAAAAGTATTAATTATGACAACATTGAAGATATACATGTAGACATAAATGAGTATTTGTGCATTCATGAAGAAAACTTGTCCCAATTATAATCATACTGTCCAGAGAAAAGATCTAGCTTATTTTACATGTAACAAAAACTTGTCAGGTGCTTACTAAGTATGGGGCTGTCAATACTGCAAAAAACTTAAAAAAATTCTGCCCTCATAAATTTATTTTCTGCTGGGCATTGAGAGGCTGAGAGAGGAGGATCACTTTGAGTTTGAGACCAGCCTGGGCTACAAAGCAAGCTCAAGGCCAGTCTGAGTTGCAGTGAAACCCTGTCTTGAAAGGACAATGAATCAATTTCTGGAAATAGTCAGAAATCATAAACATAATAACTACCAGTACAATGTTTGTCCCATAGTAATAAATACTGGAAGTAAAAAATACTGAAGATGATCTATCATGGAGATAGTACTACTGACTGTTAGGATTCTGGAAATGTCTTTCAAAAAAGCATTTTTCTGGGGCTGGGGAGATAGCTCAGTAGTAGGCCTGAGTTCCATCCCCAGTTCTAAAAAAAAAAAAAAGGCATTTTTCTGTGCACATTATGAATTCATTCAGTTTTTGTTGTTGTTTATGTATTTGGTACAGGGTCTTGCTAGGCACTTAAAGGCATTTTTCTGTGCACATATGAGTTCATTGGGTTTTTTGTTTTTGGTACGGGGTCTCACTATGCAGCTCGGACTCCTAATGATCCTACTTTCAGCCTCCAGCCTCGCCAGTGCTGGGATTACAGGTGTGCACCACCACACCCACAGTAGGTGGCCTGCTCAGTGCATCCCAGGACGGGGCAGGGACGGGGGCAGGGGGCAGAGCGGCTTGTGGTGCCAGGGATTGAACCTCAGTCCCTGCACTTGCCTAAGCAGGCCAAGAGATAGTCTACTGAGCTATCTCGCTGGCCCTATGAGTTCATTCACATAGTCTGTTCACTGAAAAATGGGACTATATTACACTAAGTGTTGGCTAGCCTGCTTTTTGTACTCTCTTATTATACTTCAGTCTTCCTCAAGAGTATATACAGATCTAGTACATATGCATTAATCTTTTACAGGTGAACTATAATCTACAAATTATTTTCTACTAGTAGATATCTGAGGAAATCGTGGCATAAGAGGAGGCCACTAAAACAGAGCAGACAGAGAAAGTTAACTGAAGAGCAGACATTTTGTCACAGGGCAGAGGATATAGAAGAAAGAAAACACAGGAGCCTGAGGGCTATCTGAGGAGAATGTTCCAGACAAAATCACAAGTTCTCTAGAGATAAGACGATGTTTGATGTATGAAAGAACAAACACAGGCCAACAAAGGCCATAAAAGAAAGCAAAGACAACAATGGCGTATAGTTTGTGAGGTCAGAGGCGGCAGTGGGAGAGATGGTGCAAAGCCATCGCGAAGGCTCTGGACTCTGCTCCGGGTGAATGTCACAGGAGCAGCCTTCTGTGAAAGGAGAGAATGAGGGCACGAAAACAAAATGAACGCTACTGACTACCACACAAGACGGTACCAGGTTGGATCAGGATGGTAAGACTGGACATTTTACAATTTTATCTGTTAAGATTTCCAGGTGGAATTGGACTGGAATATATATATGAGAAAGAAAAAAGCCAATCATATTGCTAAAAGCTGTTGTCTCAGTAATTGGGAATGATTTTTCATGTAGTAGGATGGGAAGACGGCAGAGAAACAGGTCTAAACATCCAAAAGAATGCTGAAATGAGTTTTCTCACACTCAGAACTTGTTCCAAGGCTTTTTCTCTTTTAGAACTGTTAGAAATCTATATATCCTATTAAAAGGTTTTATCAAGTGCCAAGTAACTTCTTAAATCCTAAACGGATCAGGATTTTGTATAAATCTTGAGCTAAACTAGTTTTGTCCTTGTGATAGAGGTAAAATGTGAAATTAAGTCACTGCTCCAGCATGTAACTTTGTTACTACGGTCATTCCTCCGGATATCTGGAGGGCTGACTCCAAGACCTTACCTCTGATGCCTAAACTCATGGAAACTCAAATTACTTCTATAGAACAGTGTGGTACTTGAATATAACATAAGCATATCCTCCATATAACTTTTAATCTTCTCTAGATTAATTATAATACCTAATATATCAATACAATTCACATAGTTGTACATTATTCAGGAAATAATCCCAAGAAAACTGCATACATGCTCAGGACAGATGCAATCACTGTAGGCCCAACTATCTAGCCCAGAACCCACAGATATGGAACCTGTGGTCCAGAGGGCTCACCACGTATTACACACTTATATCATATCTACAGACTGTGTACCTACCAGCCACTGCTGTCCATAAACAAATACATGATTCTTGGCGATATCAACTCTATCCCACGCCAATGTAAGGATCAGCTGGTCAAAGGCAGATGCATTAGTACCTAATAAAGACAACAGGCAGGTGTCTCTCCATTAATATGCAAACACGATGTGATCGCTCCCTACCACGCTCTCATGAGGTCACATGGGGATGTTAGGCATCATTCAGAAGCAGCCTGGCTCTGAGGAATGATAAAGCCCACAACAGAGGACTTACACTCTCCAACTATAGACACTTCACAGCCTCATTCCTCACAATTCACAATACCAGAAAATGAGAAGGAAACAGTAATTTTTCTGTGCATATATTAGTTCATTCATGCAGTTTACTAAAAAAATGGGACCATAATACACTAAGTGCTGACTAGCCCGCTTTATGTACTCTCCTATCATACTTCAGTCTCCCTTAGGGATATAGATCTATTCGATATGTATTAAGACCTTTTACAGGTGAACTATAATTTAATCACAAATGTTTCTACTAGTAGACATTCAAATTATTTTGAATATTTTGCCAAGCAAATTTCAGAGCACATGACTTAATATATAAATATATTCAGGAGCCCACTTGCGGAATATAAAGAAATATACATTAAAGCTCTGACAAAAGGGTTAACCTACCAAAATGTTTCAGACTCAGGCCTGGTGGTGCACACTTACAATCCCACTACTGGGGAAGCTGAGACCAGTGGGTTTCCGCCAGTTTAAGGCCAGCCTAGGCTACATAGTGAGTTCAAGGCCAGCATGAATTATATAATAAGATTCCATTTCAAAACAAAAAAATCCAAAAAAGCTGAAACAATAAAAAGTTTCAGAAAGATTTTACCAACCACAAAGGTAGAGGAATACTCTTTTTTCCATTCACCAGTAGAGGGAGTAAAAGCTCTTTCTACAAAAATTCTATTTACTTGTATACTATAATGTTGACCATCTTCCCACATTTTTTCCAAATACTTAGATTCTACCTCAAACACCTTTTACATAAATTCTACAAATTTTCATAAGGTATTCACCTTTTCCTTATTAATTTTGACTAGCTCTTTATAATTCTATACCTGTGGTTTTTGCACTTATAAAATGAGGAAAAGGCCGGGCATGAAAACACACACCCATATGTAACCCTAGCCCTTGAGGCCGGGGCCAGAAGATTATGAATGATAGTCCAGGAAAGGCTAGAGTACAAGGCCACTGTAAACTACATAGTGAGACCCTGTCTTAAAAAAACAGAACAAAAACTAAAAAACAAAAAGGAACAAGGGGGCTAGGGAGATAGTGCAGTAGAATAAGCACCTGCCTGGTACTGCAAAAAAAAAAGAAAGAAAAGAACAGAACTGTACCAGAGTGTTACAGAGACAACATGAGATAGCAATAGGAAGCTTTTATGCACAGTGGCCAGCACACACAAAGTATGTGGCAAATAAGCTACCTACATGGGATGGTGTTCTCCCTTTATCTTTTTATATCACCTCATGTACAGACTTGTGCCTTTATAGTTTCTGGGTTTTCTAATACCATCTATTGATCCCAGGATCATACAGGTTTAAAATAATATCTATTTTTAAAATACTTGACAAATCATTGACTTTTTGTGGCTCAACACTTGGGAAGTGATGAACGACAAGACAGCACCCTGCTTTGCTCAGGCTACATCCGGTTTGCTCCGGTCCAGAAGCCTGTCTTTCTCACGCTGTTCTATCAGTGAGACATCTTGGGGAGACAGTGAAATAGTCCAACATACGTGTACAGGATCCCTTTAGTCTTAAGACAGTACCCTAGTTTTAAAATTTTCTCTCCAGAATAAAAAATAGTCAGGTTTAAGAAACCTTTCATTTCTATCAACTAAATTCCTCATTACTTCAAAATACTTTTATTTTTCTACCAGTTAAGAACGGAACACTTTATTTTCTTGGAGACAGGATTTCATTATACATTCTAGGCTGGCCTTGAACTCTTGGCAACCCACTTCCTCAGTCTTCCAAATGCTGGGAATACAGGTGTGCAGTACCACACCTAGCTGTGACACATTCTCTTTTTTTTTGATAATTTTTTAAATAAATTTATTTATTTTATTTATTTGTGTGTGTGTGTGTGTGTGGCCAGCTCAGCCTGCCTGGGGGCGGGGCTGGCTGGAATGTGGTGCTGGGGGATTGAACCGCGGTCCATGTGCTTTGCTAAGCTAGTTCTAAGTAGGTGCTTTAGACCACTGAGCCATCTCAGCAGCCCCTGTGACACATTCTTAATAGGATAATTAAATGAACTGGCAAACATGAACCTTTCTATGAACTTAAAGGTTCTAAAGACAAAAACAAAAGCTAACTTACTGCCAATGAAAACCAACATTGTTTCTTTCACAAAGAACTTCCTAAAAATTCACTTCTTCGCCAATTTTAAAAAGCTGTTATATAGGTAAAGGTAACAGAAATAAAAATCTTACCTTTTAGTAGTGCAGTAAGTATTGCTACATCTATATCTTGGTGTTCATCTGATCCAATATGGAAAACAGTCATCTGTTTAAAAATTAACTTACAATTATACCTTTATATTCATAAATGTAAGGTATCATAACACAATCACAAACTATATGTGGGGGAATATATATCTACATACACACAAGCTGAGAGATAAAACAGGCTGAGAGGGACAGGAAGGGGAAACAGACTAGTGTCAGGGGAAAAGGCTAAAAATCATATCAATCCCTAACACCAAAACAAAACAGAATCTAGTATGCTTTATCATTTATCAAATGCAATAAAAAAAAAATGCAATAGCAAGTACACTCTAAATATTTGGATTTATACTATACACACTATCTCTGACCTACCTAATAAGTTTGTTATCAAATTAATTACTTACCAGAGTAAATCTTGTTATTCTTCCCACAAAATGAACACTTATGCAAAATAGTTGTTCTTTTTTTTTTTTCCTGGCGGAACCGGGGATTGAACTCAGGCCCTTGTGCTTGCCAGGGAAGCACTTATTCTACTGAGTCATCTCCCCAGCCCCTAATATGCATTCTTGAATAAGGTAATTTGGTTGTTTTAGTTGTTTAAACTTTTTCACTGCAAATTACTTAAATTACCCAAAATATACCATTTGAGAAGTGCTGGTAACATTTTTCATCAAGTAAAAGATTACAGTAACCCAAATACAAGTATTACAGCCAATACCATCTCAAGGGATAAACAAACTTGGAATGAAAGCACACAGCATGAGGTTGAGAACAGGAGGATTACTACAAGTCTGATCTATGTAGTGAGACCCTGTACTAAATGCAAAAACAAAGTACACAGCAGATAGATTCATGCTATCATCTATTGATGCAAAGAGCTGTTAAGCATTTTATCTCTGAAAACTGAAGCTCACGAACACAAACTTGAAAGGAAAACAGCACTAATCTCTAATTTAGGAGCCCAGTGTATTCACTCAAAAGTGAAATTACTTAAAAATTTTGCCTACATATCTATTCAAAAAAGGTATGAACAACTCCTTACAGTTATTTCTTGATGCTGGATATAATGTTATACCAGTTATGAAACTTCCAAAAAGAGCAAATATACTGTAATGTTTCTAAAAAATATTTGTTCTCTGCCACTGCTCAGCTGAAAAGACTAATAAGTAAGAAAGTGAGTAAGTAAATAAATAAATAAATAAGCTCTTTTCATGGTTAAAGGAGGATGTAAAAATTTAAAATCCACAGCTGGGATGCACCTCAAAGGCAGAACACTTGCCCAGCATGTACAACACTCCGTGTTTGATCCCCAAAACTGAAAATGAATAATAATTAAAAAGTAAATGAATAAATAAATCCAAATTAAAACAAATGTTCACCAATTTACAATGTGCTATGGAATAAATAAAAGCCTTAATTTTGCTGTAGTCTACTTACAAGTTCCTTTTTTTTCATGCACTCCATCAATGTTTGAAATAAATGAACTGCTTCACTCTGACCAAAGTTAAATGTTTTCTTGATGGTTGAAATGATATCAGGCTCTGCTGCATCAGGAAGATTCCTGGTGTAAGAGGGAATATAATTTAACTCAAAAATTTCATTTTCCAGGCCAACCAAATAGCTCAGCAGATTAAAGTGCCTGCTTAGGCAGATGCGGGGGTTGGAGATTCTATCCCCCGCCTGCAGTGCTGGTGCCAGCCCCACCTCCCCAGGGAATGCTAAGTGGTGATTGAGGCTTGGCATGGTGGTGTGCACCTGTAATCCCAGTGCTTGGGAAGCTGAAAACAAGAGAATCACAAGTCTCATCTGTGTAGTGAGACCCTGTAGACCCTGCACTAAAAACAAAAACAAAAGAAATTTCATTTTCTGTTATTTGTAGAATTTTTAAAAAGGTACAGAAAGAACCATGCAAAACCTTCAAGGATAGTATATTAATATTAAAACCTTGACTTTGGGCAGTATTATTTTCACTTTCATAAGACAGCCCTATAACTGTTTCTGTGAGGGGGGGGTGGTACTTGGAGTTACACTCAGGACCCTGTACTTGTCAGGCAAATACTGTAACACCGAGCTACAGCCCTGGTCCTATAATTCTTACAGAGGATTAAAAAAATTAAAAATGGCATTATTTTTCTTCTTTTTGAGATAGGGTCTCACTCTACAGTGCAGGCTGGCCTTGAATTCACTCATGTAGCCCAGGATAGACTCAAATGCATGGGGAGCCTCCTGCCCCAGCCACCCAGGTGCTGGGTTATGGTGGTGTGCCCCACACCTGGCTGGGATGATTTTTCTAGTTACTTTACCAAAAAAAAAAAGATTCTCTTTTCCCTACAAAGTATGTATTTCAACATATTTTGGTTTTTTGCATTTCAATATTGATATTCAATTCTATTAAGATACATGAAGATGACTTAAAATGATATGTATAAAAAAATATACAAAGCAGTATTTCACCAAGATGTCTTGAACATGAACAATTATATTTATCTTTCTTTTGATAAATGGATAAGACATTTACATGGCTAAAGAAAATATGAAAATATGAAGTTATAATGAAAGTCTCCTTTCCATTCTCTCACCTAACTAGTTCCATCTCAGCTCTTTTCAGAAATCATTGTTGGCTTGTGTAACCTTTTGAGATCTCTTTCTATAAATACAAATCAGCATCTCAACAGTGATGAATCTATGGCACATATGCCACAGCAGGCTGAAAGCTCTAAAAGATTTACCATTGCTGGACTATCCCCATTTTTCTATGCAGGAAATGCCACTCTATCTATCTATCTATCTATCTATCTATCTATCTATCTATCTATGATGCTTTATAGCTTCCTTCTTTTATGTAGACATTTTTGTAATCTTCACAAATATTATAGAAACTATCCCATTGCATATATGTATGTATATATATGCCACAAATTATCTGGTTCTACCAGATGTTCTAATTTGTTCAAATCTTTTATTCTTAAAAGTGACCATAACAAAAAAGTTATACATAGATATTCCAACCTCTGTAGGAACAACTGCCAGAAATGATCAGTTTAAAAGCCATATATCTCTGTAGCAAACAAGTTCTTTCAGCAACATGGTTATACTGCAATGTAATTCATTCCAATAATATGAGTCACACCTCAACCTTAACAAAGTATTGTATTAAACCTACGATTTTTCACACTCATAAAACACTCAAAAGGAATCTGAGGTCCAAAAACTTACAGGCCTCTTTAACAAGGCTATTAAAATGTGTCACATTCACATACTTACCCTCCTTCATCTGTCTGTTTATGAATATATGCAAGTAAATCTGCGGCTCGGCCTGTTCCTTCGCACACCACCACTGGAACGGGGGGGCTCTCCTGCAAGTGTTCTAGAACTGTGAGGATAACATTCGGCCCACCTTCAAATACCAGCGCCACCACAGGGACTCCTTGGCCAATTCCTTAAGAAAGCAAAAAATCAGGACTTAAGATACAGCTCAGGGGCACAAGTGCGAGGTCCTGAATTTGATTCTCAGTACTACAAGGGAGGAGATGGGAACCCTTAAATCAGAAAATAACAAAATGTGGCAGCTCAAATTTGTTTTCAGTTAAAACAATTTTACATAAAATGTACTGAACTGGGCGGGTGACATAGCAGAGTGGACTAAGCACCTGCTTACGCAAGGAGAGGGACTGGGGTTGGATCCTGGCACAATACGTCATGCTGGCTCCTGGGGTACACCTGTGATCCCAGCACTGGAGAGATTAAAAAGGGGAGGATCATTATGAGTCCCAGCTATGTAGTGAGACTCTGTACCAAATACATTAAAAAAAACCAAACCTAAACTGTTCAACAGTCACACATAAGTCCTTAAAAAACAAAAATTAGAAAATTATTATATAATTTATAACATGTACTAAAGAAATTACACCTTCACTGAAAATTAAACGCTTGTGTATTCATCATTTGAGTTCTTAGCAAAAAAAAAAAAAAAAATGTATAATACCACTCTGTTTTTTTAGATTACTCATTGATATTGTTTTAGTTAAGTTTTTTTTTTCCATAATTTTATTGACAAACAAATAGTAATGAGACACTTTGAAACCAAACTGGTAAGACATTTTCAATAATTAACACATTGCATACATTCTTCCTAGTGGTTAATTGATGTACAAGATGCGGACATGATCTCCTATTTACAAACACCATTAGAACAAATCCCTCTAGTCATTAAGAAAATGTAACTATATATCTTTTTTTTTGGTGGAACCAGGGATTGAACTCAGATCTTTGCGTATGCCAGTCAAGCGCTTATCCTACTGAGCCATCTCCCCGGCCCCGTAACAATATATCTATCCTAACCACTTTGAATACACAAGACACAAAATAAACATTCATCTGTATCCCCTTTTTTTGTAAAGTTCAGTTATTTGAATATTATAGGTGTATAAACTCAGCAAAATATTCTAAAAGAGTCCAGTAGTCCACAATAGTTATTGGGTCTTCCACGTGACTGGCAATGTCAGAAATTGTTGACCTGAGACCCTACAGCTCAACATAACACCATGGCTTTACTTCTTATACTTTGTTATTATACTTTTCTGCTGGATGGTTAAGACCAAGATATAGCAGGACATATGCAACAAGAGTTGTAGCTTTTGGGTCTGAGAAGGTCAGTGAAATCCGCTCAGGATTTATCCTGAGATCCTATACCTCAGATTGTAGAACCTTTGTCAGTGTCAGCCATGTGGATGAGTCA